GGTACATATAACTCAGGAGTAGATGATGAAACAGGTGCTCCACCAGGTAGGGCATCTACAGAAGGTGAGGCAGTAGATTCTACCTGTCAGTCAGTACTGGAAATCAACAGATAATTCAGGTATTGATTATAGATAATGAACAGGTATTCCACCAGGTGAAGTACATGTATTTACAGAGTATGGCAAGAACATGAAATAAAGAGTAAACAGGATTTAGTTTTATGTTTCCCAGTGATAAAAACTTAAAATTAGAAAAGCAGGTTTACATTAAAAAAAAGTTATGGATTTAATATGTGGTCAAATTTTCATTATTTTCAAAAATTTTATTTAAGAAATTATGTATCATTTTTAAACATCTATCGGGATATAAATACGGGTTGGTACGAGATCAAATTTACCATAAAGCCAAATACGGGTTGGTAACGAGATCAAATTCCATAAAGCCCAAAGGGCTTTATGGTAAATTTGATCTCGTACCAACCCGTATTTATATCCCGATAGATGTTTAAAAATGATACATTATTACTTATATTTACATTTATGACATATTCATATTTTATATTTTCCTGATTATAATCTTTAATGCAGGAAATGTTTTATTTTTCAAACTCAATGGCACATATTTGATCCATTGATTGCATGATGACCCTTTATGATGTCACTGAGAAATTACGTCAAATGTTTATGACGCAAGGAACCCATGTTTTTACGGATATAGATACAGGTTGCTTTTAAAAGTGTTATATAATAGAAAACATTTGCAAATGTAAATATATGGAAAATGTACAGATTTAAATTATGGTCAAGATTTAATGATGTTGCTGCTTAATCCTTCAACGTTCATTAATTTCAGGTACTCTGCTAAACAATGTGGTTGTTGAGATCTGTGATCGAGTGGTCAGGCTTGAGGACATTTCTGCATCAGATGCAACACAGATGGCATCTCTGATGTCACTCATCCAAAAGAGGGCGGGTCCTCTAATGAAATCAGCCAGTGATGATGGAGATGTAAATGTTACCATTGAACTCCAGCGAAATGTGCCAAAATGGTTACGGTTTACAGAAATAATCACTTTACTGAATGCCAGTCTTTTGGAGATCAATGATAGATGGGCAGATGGGAAAGGACCTCTGGCAAATGAACTCACAGCTTCTGAAGTGAAACAGATGATCAGGGCTTTGTTTCAAAATACAGACAGACGATCAGCAATTTTGGCAAAAATAAGATAGTATTATTTATATTTAGAGGATTTAAAAAAAAAAAACCAGGTGACCTCCATGTACATCATTTTTCTTCTCATTAATTGTCATGCATAGCCTTTTGCAATCTGTCTGATTATGCTGATCAGAAAGCCCTCTTAGAACTGTGAAATTCACGTCCTTTTGATCCAGTTTCAAGCTTGAGGGTGAGGCCAAGTTTCATGGGCATATATCTTGGCAATATTTGTATCACTGGCTCTGATACATCTACATTTGTGTGGCAAACTGTAAAGATATTACAGTATTAAAGTTATAGCAAAGTCCTTGGTACCTGCTAAATTACTTAGCTATGTGCATAATTAGTTATATCTGTTTAAAGAATTTGTAAAAGTATATACATGTAGCTATTCGTAGAAATATTAAATACAAAACTTACCTTGGAGAACTAAAATTTTCTGTTGATAAATTTTCAAATACATGTAGATACATGGATATCAGTTCAATATTTTAAATTTTGAGCCCTTTAAAAATTCCTAATATAAGATGTCAATTTCATTATTTTTAATCCCTACAGGAATCAAAATCAACTCGCTAAATTTATTTTTTTTTTTTAATTTATCAGAGTTCCTTATAATTTTAAAATTTTACGAAGGATGTTAAAAGTTTTTTTTTGGGACCCAAGCAAGAGGCCTAAGGGGGAGCAGAGACCATGAATTTCACAAAAAAACTTGACTACATGTATATCAGTAAATTTGCTATACCCACGGTCTTGCTAAACAAGCCTTAATGTAAATAAATATTTAGGTATGTTGGAATCGTGCATTATCAATATGAAAGCACAATATTCAATCTTGGCCTGGACCCAGAAGAGCTAATAATGCATTTTTATGGTTTTGCTCAAACTAAAGAGGGTGTAGGACCATGAAATTCAGGGTTAGTTCCCCTTTACCTGTAGGAGCTATGTATCGTTAATTTGCTCGGCCATTTCAGAGAAATGAAAATGTCCAAATCTTATGACAATAGATAGACAATTTATTGCATAATTAATAAAATGATAATAAATAAAATTACCTGAGCAACTCCGGGTAATACCCAATAACCTGAACACTACACATATTTTTTTAGTTAGGATCAGAAACAAAATATGTCTAGACTTCAAAAAATAGTTTAGTGTGTGCCTTATCTGTTAGTCAATAAGGGGATGAATAGATAATGTATGTCCATAGCATAAATACTGACAAGCTGAAAGTAAGAGTAGGAACATTCTAGGGAGGGTTACAATGAGTGTCATTTTTCTCTAACAAGTTTTTATGGTACAACAGTTTGCAAATGCAATATTTTAATGGGTTAATAATTAAATTTTAACAAAGATGTGTTTGTGAAACACTGATGCCTCCACATGGCAGCTTTTTCAATAGTAGGTCAAACTCCAAAGTCAAGGGGCCAAAATAGTTGGTTTTGTCACAAGAAATACATATATAAAATATGAAAGCCTTAGCACTAATTGGTCAAACATTATGACCAAGGTTTAAGGTTTTCCATCCCTAATGGGACCTAATTCTCTATCTTTAAATATCCATCACGTATATAATACTCTGATATTAATTCAAAGCATTTAACAGTAGAAAAGGATTTACCAAGAGAAAGTTTCAAAAGTGTAATTAACTAAGCAGTAATTAACAGAAATTGCATTGAAGTCTATGGAGACAAGTGATTTTTTTTTAAATAAAAATTCAAATAATAAGAATTTCAATAAATACTCTGGTGGAAAGATGCATTAAATCATTAGATATAGAATGACAATTGAAAAGAATTATATCACTATAGATTTTTTAAAATTGATTTTTATTACTTAGAAAAAAAAAAAGAAGGAGATAACTCTTCAACAAAGGTCAAGGTCATAAATTAGTACACGTTCCATTCTTACATGCTAATAGTAATAAATGGGAATCATGTCTAAATACGAGGGGTTATCAAAAAGTTCATGGACTAGCACCATAAAATTAAAACCGCTTTAGGTACATCAATGAATTTTAAAAACTTATGTTAGCATCATCTTTTCTATCTATAGAATAAACCATAAATCATAAGTTTAATTTTTAAATAATTTTTTAATGATTTTGTAAGCAATGGTATGTTCAGGCGGCGCAACCTCAAATATGTCGTTTTTTCTACCTAAGTGTTAACTGAGAAAAACTCTTTTGATATGACCATTTGTCATCAAAAAATCCCGTTATTTCAGACATGTGGTACGACACAATTGTTCTGTAAAATTTGCAATTTTTATCCCATTCTGTACGTTCTATGAAATTTTAATGTAAATTTTATATGAAGTGTCCAAAAAATAAAGGCTTGAAAATGACGTCAAAAAGGAGGAGGTGTTTCTTTTTCCAGCATTCTATAAAGTTTCGCACCTGGAAAAACTGGTATAGACCTAAAGAATGTTACAACGGGCTACAGAGAAATAAAAAGGATCCAGAGTACTTGTTTTTAAATGCCCAAAAAGATTCAGAGAGATGAAAGATGTACAGTTAATGTCGATTTGTAGTCAGGTTGTCAAAAGTCAGTCACGTCGAAAAGTGACGTTGATCATGTGGCAGAAATTGAACTCCATCAAGATAAGTATTTAGGAATAATCAAGTGAGGATCTTTCCCTTTATACAGATCCATTTACAATATTAAATGCATTGAAAGCAGCTGTTCATGACATTTTTAAGTCATATAAACAAGATGATCTTAAGTTCTTACTAAACTCTAGGTAATCTCATCAAGATAAGAGTATGAAGTAGAGAGAGCGGACATTGAGAGACAATGACGTCTGACGTCATGAAACTAAACGGCGACAGCGCCGGGTGATCATATAATGTCTTTTTTATTTTAGAATAATTTAGAAAATTATCAACGTATCAAGCTAAAATTTTCAACATTTCTTAAACTTTTGGTGTTCTTTGTTTCTTATAAATTTTGTAAGCACAGACTACATAGTATTAATTTTAACGCATCAGTCCACGAACTTTTTGATAACACCTCGTATACTGCGTATTTCACCCGTACACATTTGTTATGTATTCAAATTCATTGAATCTGAGGCTATTAGGGATGAAATACCTCAAGTTTTACAAACATCAATCAAAACTCCAAGGTCATGAGGTCAAAATTGTTCAAACTCTGTCTTGTCAAAAGGAATATGCATGTGAAATATAAAAGCTCTAGCAACAACCAATCAAAAGTGATGGCCAAGATTCAAGTTTTATATGGAATAGTTCCACATTGTTATCCTTGGAATGGTTTAGATGGCTTGTCAATATCTGCTGGTGACAAAACATGCTTCAAGTTGGCCACTGTCAATGGCATGAAAAGTTAGTTGCAATAATTCAGTGAATCACTTGATGGATAAGGTTGAACAGAACCAATCATGTGCTAGGTGTTTTTTTTTTTTTTATTTTGCATGACTTTTACTGCACATTTTAAAAATCCCTCTCAATAAAAAAATTCTTCAAGCCTTGATTTTCTTTTTCTCAAGACATAAATTTGAATGATTTTGAAACATAGCTTAACAGTTAAATCTCTCAACAAGGTCATCTGTTGTTTTCATTAACAAATCCAATATTTACATGTACTTAGTACATGTACACCATTTTACATTGTTAATCATTATTATATGTATCTCAAACATACTCATTCAAAATCCATTACTCAAATACATAAAACAAGTACACTATTCTCAACACTGGTCCATGTTCTCATATAAACATATATACTATAAAATTTAAATTCTGAAAATCTTCCAAATATGGTAATACATGTACATGTTTATTTTCCCATGAGAAGACATTATGGTTCATGTATTATGGCTCAATGAAAAAGTTGTTCAACTTGTCAACATTATAATACAATCAGAATGGTTAGACTAACAAGGTAATTGTTTCACCATCCTCTTCTAAGCTGTTGGCATGAAAGCGATTATGGTTCACCTCCTATGAATGAGATCATTTCATATTGCTTTGCGGTGATATTCAGGGGGAGCAACTATGTAATCATTTAGTGAAAATAAAGTAGACATGTTCTTTTGCATGTACCTGGAAAAGAAAGGAAAGTTACTAAATAATGACTCCATTGAGGTTAGATGAATCAAAGTGACAAATTTAAAACTTTAAGACTACTTTGATAGGGTTTAATATACACTGCATGTACAAGCTGTTAAACTTCTAGTTTTAGAAATTGGTAATTGGCCTATAAATCATTTTCAAAGAGGTGATTTGTGGATAATTTAGACACACAGTATGAATCAAACTTAGGTTTTTAAATGTGTTTAGGTACATTCTTTATTGTGGCCTGAGTTAAACAAAGGACTCATCTTGAAATTAACTGAAATGAAGTCCTTTACAACTAATTCCAAGAAGTTAGATCTGACTTACTTCAAGAAATCCTGCAGGTGATTCTGTAGAAGTTGTATGCTCTTTTCATCCAAGGATGTGTAGGCCAACATTCCTCCTAATTTAACTGCAATCAAAATAAATACGAGTTCTAAAGCAACATAAAACTAGTTTTGTACAGTATTTGTTAACATATAGGGTGGAGATTTATAACTTTATTATGTGCAGGATATTATATCTAATAGGAAATATGACACAGACCTTTTTATGAAAACATCTATCTAACATCTACATGTACACACTACCATATTTACTCAACAATAAGTCAGTTTTCTGGGAGTTACCGTAAATTCTATGCCTAACTTATAGGAGAGGCCTATAAAGATTGGTATTTTTCTGGACAGCAAAATGTAGTATTTTTTAAACAACTCCAATGAATACCATTGATATAAGTCTGGACATAATTTATTTATGTATTTTAATATTATGCATAAAAGTATTTACAGATCAAAACAAAATATTTTATCTTAGGTGTGCATTATTTATTTTGATAATTATGTTATTTTCAATTCTTTCCGTAACTTGTGACTTACTGTAAATCTATCACTTATTGGTTTAGTTGTAATTGCAAAATATTCATATGTACTGTCATATATTTTTGATAAAAAATTTAATATTTATTTTTTAAAAATTAGATCAGAATATAATTCTTGACTAAATTGCAACTTCTTGGGCCTTTTCACCAAGAGGGAAAGAAGTTGATATTGATTCTTGACTCTATTAAAACTCCAAATTAATTGTTTCCCATGTACACACTTATTTTCTTGGGGCACATGCCACTAAATAAACACTGTCAAGTAAGCGATCAGGAAATTTAAGAGACAATAATTTTTTAGGTAAACAAATGAAACTTTATGACAATTACCAAAAATAAATCAAGCGTAGCATTTATAAATCAGAAAAAACAGATATGGCTTGGACATTGAGCACCTTGTAATTATAAAATTTGGTGTCATTTTTCAAAAATATTTGAAACATAGGTTAAAATGTTAAAGCACTGACTTGAAATTGTCAACCAATTCTGACAATAAGTTGTACCAACTTAAAAGCTGGTCAATGGCAAATTCCTCAAATATAAGCTTAAAAAAATACAACAGACTGACTTATAGATGAGTATATATGGTAGTTGATGTTTACCGGTATATTAAACCACAGTTAAACTTGTGGAAAAAACAGAAAGATAATTAGGTGTGACAAAAAGTGTTACTTTCCCAGTCTTTATTTTAGGGACAAACAAATAATGATGTACTGCATTACTTTATCAGAAATTAGAGTTTGAACTAATACAAAGAAAAAATAAGAGTATGAATCTAGGTTACCAAAGAGTCTAAGCAGATGAATAGCACCATAGATCTCGCTCATTGGTTTGTCTGGGTTCTCCTTCAGTATCTACAAAAAGTGAACATTTGTCTTGTTACTCATGTGCTCATATATTACTTTTGATTGATAATAGTGTCTATAAAGAATTGGACTATATACTTTGTGTACATGTCCAGGAAGACTTACCTCTCCATACTGAGGTCTCTCAAACTTGTACAGTAACTGTGTACCTAGCATGACATTGAAGTATTCTCTGATTCCTTGAGTGACCTCAACAACAGCATCTCTGGAAAATCAATTCAAATGAATATATAAATAACATACTGTAAAACCATCTTAGTTTATCTGAGGCAATATGTGAAATTATATTTTGTGGGGCTCAATTTGCCTGGGTACTCCTCTCCCCACCCAACCATATTTACTGCCTCAATTGCACAGCATACATGTAATGGTATCTTTAGTAAAAAAAAACAACATTTATCCATGAAATAACATTCCCATGAAACCTGTAAATTCAATGTAAGCAATTAAAAGAAAAGAGCCCAACTAAAATCAAAATGATTCTGCAGTAGTTGACTGCATATTCCATAGAGTTTTTTACTTACAGAATAAACTCTCAAGAACAAACATTTACATTTCGAGTAAATTGTCAATGTTTTTGTATGACCATGTGGCAATACATATTTCTACTCTGAGTCTACTAATGCTGACAAATCTTTTCACACATTCCATTGTTATCAAATTTTCAAGTTACATGTACTGTAATTTATTTGTGTGATGTGACACAAATATTCTTTAAAATTCACAAGTTTTACATCATTTTGTCATTTCTGTGAGATAAAAATTGTAATTCCCATAGGGAGTGCTAAATAAACAACTAGGGGTAAAAAATGATGGAACTTGGCAAGGGGGGGGGGGGGGGGAGGTCTTTTTTATAAAGTTTTACTTCAATTGGAAAAACTTAGACTGAGAAAATGTTTAAACAGGCCAGAGAGGGACAAAATGTGTCCAAATTACCTGGTTTTAAATTGCACAAAAGATTCAGAGAGAGAGAGAGAGAGAGCTGAAACACATTTAATGCCAACTTGTAGTTCGGGTTATCCAAAGTAAATCACATTGAAAAATAATGTTGCTTGCATGCAGAAACAGACTGAGCTAATACAGTCAAGTGAGAATCTTTTTCTTTTGTACAGTATTGTTGTTTGAAATCAACTGACATATAAACAAGAAGGGATTCAGCCTTTATTTAGCTCCATGGTATGTTGTCAAGAAAAGTGTACTGAGGAAGTGGACAATGAGAAGCAATGGCATTGTTGAACATCATAAAACTCAAACAGCACTAGGTGACCATGACCTTTGTATTTGATGAATAATCAGCGTAAAATCAACACACTGTATCATGCTAAATTTTCCAAAACTTCTAAAACTTTTAATGTTCTATGTTTCTTATAGATTTTGAAACTATAGCCTAAATAATTTTGATTTTATCACACCAGTCCACAAATTTTTTAATAATCCTTCATGCTGTATGTCATAGTAAAAATTCTTATGACTGTACCTATTAAACAAAAAATTATTTTCCATATTTTTATCATCTAGTATTTCTTGATTTCTACATAAGACTAATTTATCATGAAGAGCTTTACAGAGATAGATGTAGAGAAATTGAACATACTTGTTGACATTGCTGGCTTTTGTCGACTTGGAGCGTACATAGTCATCCAGTATATTATCTACAGTTGTCTTGCATGGCAGGGAAACCACCTGGAATTGAACATTACATTCTATATATCAAGGAAAAATAAATTTACCACACAAGATAAATTAGGGTACAAGAATAATGGTACATGAATATGTACATGTAATAAAAGGGGTGTTCAAGATAATAGCAATTTATACTAGTTTAAGACCTACATCCGGATAGCTAAACATCAGAATACATGTACAACGATATACCAAACTGAAGATTTAAATCTTACTTTGTTTGTATGTAAATTAACATTTACACTTAATTCTTCATTCCAAATATCTGTAATTGTTAAAATGTTTGTACTCAGTATCTGAGACCAAGTGGCTAATTCAACTTTACACATACCTAGCACCACAGATGCTAACTTACCATAGTCTCTGTGATCTTCAATACAGCTTTTATGTACAAGCATGAATTAGTTTATGAACAATGTCTAAAAACTTTAATAGACTTGTACAGTTGTATTCCATATTCTTGTTTGTATGGAGGTTACCTGTTTCTGGCGAGTAATTAAGTCCCAGTCATCCACTAACCACGGCTTGAGTTCCTCTGGAATCTTGATTTTGACCTCTATCTTTGCCAAAAATGATTCTTCCTATAAATACAGAATAGAGATATTGAACCTATTTAAGTAAGAACTACTAAACTTTATAAAGCTTTAAGTGTTACAATATATGCAATTACAAATTTATTACAATTCAAGCATTTTGTACCAAACATATACACTACATCTTATATGCAACTGGTACAGAGCACAGCTGCTGTTGTTTTTCAGGGAAATATAGTAGTTAATGTCTTGAAAAAACATCTCATCAACACAATAACAAATTATCATACCACGCTAATGTACGGTATTCAATTTGTCGGCACAGCCAGGTGCTCTTATAAGACTGACAACATCCAAAAATGAGAATCCAATGCTTAAATTTCTGTGGTAGGCTATAACATTCAACCATTTTCATATTCTGATCTGGGTGGATATCAATGTATATAAGGCAGATGATTAATAATGTATCAACCTGTGGTAGGCTTTGACAATCATGTTAATCTTTATTCTGAAGCTGGGTAAATAATTTTATATGTTTTGTGTGGGTTAATTACCGGTAACTGTGCAACATGTTAAGCTATGACATTCAAGCTTTTCTTCATTAGGTGAATATTTTTATGTTTGTGAAGATAAATAAATTGTATCAATTCTGGGGTACATGTAGGTTACGACAGTCTGACACTCAGGCTTTTCTTATTTTGATGTTGGGTGGACATTAATTTATTTGGGGGGGTTAGTAAATTGTACCGATTCTACCGTAGGGTCGGGTCTGGGCCGTTTCCTTTTCACTTCTGTGGAGGGAGTTCCTGATGATGGGGTAGAGTCCTGGGATGCTTGAGATGTCTACAAAAATATTACTCCATATACTGTAAAGTTCATATATAAGCACACTCAAACTTTAACTCAATCCTCCTCTTCAACTGATTAGCATAATCATAAATTAGCAAAAAGTTTAATCACATTTGAGTACTGCAAACGAAACATACATGTACATGCATTAGTTTTAATCATGTATTAGCATATGCATAAAAGCCGACATGAAGCAGCCAATGAAAAGATAAAAGGCAATAAAATATCGTTACTGCTAAAATAAGTACATTTACATTTCACAATGCTCACCTGAGTCACATTTCTCTTTCCTACATGTATATTGTGGCCATAATCTAAGCCAAAGATCTTGTACATTTGTCCTTTTTTTCTACTATTGCTATGTGAACTTACTGTGTCTGTTGTGGGGGTAGCTGGGGGACGACCTCGTTTCTTTGTCGTTTCACTAGTCACAGGAGTAGAGGGAGTGTTTGCTGTTGATTCTGGTGCTGGAGTGGCTGGCCCAGACTGTAAAATTTTTATCAGGAGAAACATTAGATCAGATAAGAAACATTAGGCATTAGACTAAATTTACTTATTTAAACATACTTCATGCCAGCAATGGGATTTTTTTTTGTTGTTGATGGACTCTCCACATTGACAAATAAAAACATGTTGCAAGTTTTTAGAACAATACTTCATTTTACAGATCTGTGCAGAAATAAGTTTCTCACTTAAGCAGAACTAACCGGAAACTCTTTTAATTTATTTATTACAAACTCTACCTCTACAGTTGCTGTTGCAGCAGGTGTACTTGACCCTGGTCGACCTCTCTTCTTCTGTGCTTCTGATTGGCTTGGAGTGCTGGTCTGGGCACTTGATGAGGGTGTGGCCTCTTTGGTCTCTTGAGATGGGGTGCCTGGTGCAGACTGAAAAAATGGAATATAGCAATACTTTCAAGAAGTTTGTATTCATTTAATATGCAGGCAACTTAAAATGGAGATATTGCATTTGATTCTGCAATGAAAATACATGATAAAGTTGTCCTTTTCCACATGAAACACCAGGAAACATTTATTATCAGCAGTGAAGTTGAGATGAAGTAAATGATAAACAATCAATCTCCATTTCCCATCAATCAAATTCTAACATACACTGTATATATTCCTTTGACACTGACTTACATCTGTATCAGTTCGAGTTCTCTTTCTTTTAGGGTCTGACAGAGCAGAGGTGGGTGTTGCACTCGCTGAAGAATCCTGGGAACTGGAAGCTGAGCCCGCACCTGATGCTGGTGTACCTTAAAATGACAAATCATTATGACCGTCGACTATTATCAGGGTAACTGTCATTGATATACACGAAGATAAATATAATTCAATAAACATATTAATGAAGAATTCTCAATGTTTTCACACCCATAAAAAAAGATATACCGGTACATGTACTAGTAGCAATTTATAAACAAAACAATTTTTGATGACTTCAGATTAAAGTTTTCAACAGTTTTACTATACATGGGTGGGATGATACATGCACCTAACAATATGTATCTGGATACAGTACAATAAATGTATCTCAATACTGAATGGACAGTAAAATTGTTACAAAATGACCTTTATCAACCTTTATGCCCAAGTTTTTGTGAAGGAGGGAACTAAGGTTTTAGAAGAAGGAGGGAAACCAGAATGCTAAAAAAAATCCACAAGATGCATTTTCAACTTCCACACATATGCATGTAATTCGGTGTTATGTGTTCTTTCAAATTTATTTATTCTATCTAAGTGCATGTGTTTCCTAGTGGTTCACTGACCCCTTTAAAATTTCAACTAATCAAAACATGGATTGTAAAAGTTTAATTTTTGGTTGGAAGGTGTATTGTGTACCGATATTATAGCATGTATTGTCATAAGTATCTAAGGGAGAGATATCAACATGTATCAGTGTATTTGTATATCACCCCCAACCCTCATACTATAGATTTATCCTTTTTGCAAAAATGGACTTACATGTACATGTAAAATGTTAACAAATTCAATTTTTTTCAAAACCTGATTTTTTTTTTTAAATAATGTGTTGTTATTGAATTTCTGTTTGGATTTACTTGTGATACCCACAAACCTTTTTGTTTGGATGTCTTGTCTGTTGTTGGAGTTGATGCCCTCTCTTTTGTGATTATGTGACACCCACATACCTTTTTGTTTGGATGTCTTCTCTGTTGTTGGAGTTGATGCCCTCTCTTTTGTGATTGTGTGATACCCACATACCTTTTTGTTTGGATGTCTTCTCTGTTGTTGGAGTTGATGCCCTCTCTTTTGTGATTATGTGACACCCACATACCCTTTTGTTTGGATGTCTTCTCTGTTGTTGGAGTTGATGCCCTCTCTTTTGTGATTGTGTGATACCCACATACCTTTTTGTTTGGATGTCTTCTCTGTTGTTGGAGTTGATGCCCTCTCTTTTGTGATTGTGTGATACCCACATACCTTTTTGTTTGGATGTCTTCTCTGTTGTTGGAGTTGATGCCCTCTCTTTTGTGATTATGTGACACCCACATACCTTTTTGTTTGGATGTCTTCTCTGTTGTTGGAGTTGATGCCCTCTCTTTTGTGATTATGTGATACCCACATACCTTTTTGTTTGGATGTCTTCTCTGTTGTTGGAGTTGATGCCCTCTCTTTTGTGATTATGTGATACCCACATACCTTTTTGTTTGGATGTCTTCTCTGTTGTTGGAGTTGATGCCCTCTCTTTTGTGATTATGTGATACCCACATACCTTTTTGTTTGGATGTCTTCTCTGTTGTTGGAGTTGATGCCCTCTCTTTTGTGATTATGTGACACCCACATACCTTTTTGTTTGGATGTCTTCTCTGTTGTTGGAGTTGATGCCCTCTCTTTTGTGATTATGTGACACCCACATACCTTTTTGTTTGGATGTCTTCTCTGTTGTTGGAGTTGATGCCCTCTCTTCTGTGATTATGTGACACCCACATACCTTTTTGTTTGGATGTCTTCTCTGTTGTTGGAGTTGATGCCCTCTCTTTTGTGATTATGTGACACCCACATACCTCTTTGTTTGGATGTCTTCTCTGTTGTTGGAGTTGATGCCCTCTCTTTTTCTTTTTCCCTTGCTTTACTTTTGCTTCTACTTTTTCCACTAAAAACATAAAAAAAAATCTTTACATTGATATGTGTAATCAATCACTGAATCATTTTATTAATTTAAATTTAATAAAACATTCAAAGAAAACATCAAAAACATGAATTTTATCATTTACTTACACATGGGCTTTTAGCAGTTCTTTCTGCTTCTGAATACTGGCATCATTGTATTTCAACACCCTACTCTCTGGCACCCACTCATCCCAACTGAAGTGAATCAATTATTACATGTACATGTGTGCATGTATAAACTTTCCTTTTTTATAATGTGTTAAAAAAAAATGCAGTTGTTTATGTTGTTCAATAAATCTACATTTTACCAAGCATACATAATTTTATGTCATTTTTATTAAGCCAACATATCGTAGAAGCAAATGGCCAGAAGCTGAAACTTACTTTTTGTTCCATCCATTGTAATGTATAAAGTATTGGTTTACTTTGTCCCTGACTTCAAATCTGACACACTAAATAAATAATGTATAAAATTATAAAGGAAAAACACTAAGTCCCAGGTTAATGGGACAGGATAAAATGATATACATGATATATGATACATGTATTACTTTAACACACTTGTACATCTTTGGTGGGACCATATTAAAATTTAATAATTTTCAGACAAAATACAATAAAAATTCACTATGACAGTACCTACCAAATGGAAGACAAAATACAATAAAAATTCACTATGACAGTACCTACCAAATGGAAGTAATATTGTTTTAATGTGATCACTTCCTAAAGAGAATATACACATTTCTATACACATGATTCATAATTTTTTTTTTAAATTTCTAAATCATGTACAGAGTACTGATTTTTACAGCTATAACCTGGTACGTACAATGTATCTTAAAAACATTGCATTCTGGGACACTTATGGCCAACTCAGATGTCATTCCTGCCTAATCATCAGATTAGTTTCTAGACACTACTTAGTGTCCCTTCAATTGAGTGTAATCATGAAAATTATGAAATAAATTTTTTTAAGAATGAGAATTTAGTTACTATTGTCTATAGGCATGAGATGATCTACTGGATCATACTTTATCACAAACCATCTTGATCTCAAACCAGACTGTTTCCACAACATTCTACATCAGTTTCTTGCACCCATTCAAAACATTATATCACCATTTTGATCTCATTATCATAAAAATATACAACTATTTATTGTTAGTAGGCTTTATTCTTTACTTCATAGATTAATTTTGTAATACTGACCTTTGCCTCATATAATAATGGCCCATGAAAGCAAAGCACTTTCTCTCCTATTAGAATATGAAATACATTGAAAATTAGTAATCTTTTCACTAGAAAGATAAATTGCCAGTATGCAATGAATGAATTTTGTGAACCCTATTCTAGCTAAAGTAGTTTTCACAGTGATTGGGAAGGCCATAAAAGTCAATGGGACTATGGCGCAACTGTCAAAGTTTTTAATGGGCCATTTTGAAAGTGAATGGGCCATCTATATATTCTGATGGACCATTTTAAGAAAAAACAAAATAGCAAACGTAAAATACGAAAGGAAACGTGCTTCTTTATTAACCAAATTTTATTCTTTTACGTTTGCAGTGTAGCACATTTAAAGGAACCCGCAAACAAATTGACATTTAAAACAAAAGTAAATCAAGCAAGAAAGTCGTACGCAATATATTTCCAACTAACATCGCTAAAATTTGAATGCGCACCTTGGTGCCACCAATGGTTGATTTAATGCGCGTTTTCACTTCAATGCAACTATGGTGCATGGCACAAGCCCTTCCCAATCACTGGTTTTCATGTGCATTTATTCAAAGTATCTCTTTCAGAAGACATAATCAAATTTCATGGGTACATAGTTAGTTTCATTTTGAAATGTTTTCATAAGAATTACATGACAAAAATTAACCAACATAAAGCACAAACTTTCTTAATTTTCTTCACCTTACTATTTACTCAGAGTCCATGAGAAACATAAGTTCCATAACTTAGTTAGTTACCAATTTTTCTCTAATTTAAGTTCCTTAAATCTGTTTAAATGTCAATAGATACAAGGCTTGTCGAGTGTCTATTGATCCTTTGAAAGTTAAGGAACAAGAGTTTGAGTTGGACAAGGCGTTCTCTATGTTAGAGGAAAAAAAGAATCACTGTGTGTGACTAATAAACAGATAAAACAAATAGCCGTAATCACAGGTACTTGGGTCTTGGTTTATAAATATGTATACCTTTACTTTTTTTACATATCAATAGGTATACATATTTATAAACCAAGACCCAAGTACCTGTGGCCGTAATGGGACAAAGCATATCAACATGCTGAGAAGAACAATATATATTTCAAAATTCTTCTTATTGCATATATGCTTTATTGATCTTTGTGTTTTATAAATTGTTCTTCTCAGCATGTTGATATGCTTTGACCCATCAGTGGCCAGAAAAACTAAAGCATCAAACTTTTCATTTCTCGTCACCCGACTTTTTTCACAGCATCAGCGCACACTTTCTTCACAAACGACCATCCAAATGCAAATATAATATAAGATAGACAAAGAAACAAAATTACCTTCTTGAAATTTCATTTTAGGTGGCATTTTAAATGTGTTTTATATTGCCGCTTAGTTCTAAACAAACCAGAGAAATGCACCAATGTGAAAAACCTCACTTCCGGTTGTGTATAAAACGAAAACTATTAAAACCAACATAGGAGATAGAAACATTCCGGGTTAATTAATTAAATTTTAAAAAAAACTGTGTCGATGTTCTTAGAAAATTAATACGATGTGTTTAAACGCAATTAGCTTTTTCTTTAATTTAAAAAACTGACGAGGCGCTTAAACAAGCAAAGAGTATTTTTCTGCATTTTAGCTAACCTGAGCCAAAGGCTCAAGTGAGCTAATATGGACCCCGGTAAATTGCAGCAAGAAGAAGAAGAAGAAAAAGAAGAAAAGAATAATAATAATGATACAATTCTTTAATGTCTTAGTCATAACTTTGCAAAATTACACTGAATAAAATTGAGTACTTAGTGAGTGAAGGGAATGGAGCAGTGTTTTGTATTTATCACGAATCTCCAAAGAAATTTTCACAGCCGTATTACATATTGAGCTCATTTCTGCCCATAATTTCCCGAAAGGACAATGGGTGTAAAATTGTTTGAAATTTATCATATTCAAGGTTTTTCTGTTGGTTGTCGTCATTGTCGACGTCATCGTTTTCATCTTAATTCTTCTCCAGAACCACTGGGCAAGTTTTAATCAAACTTGCCACAAAGCAACTTTGGGTAAAGGGGATATTAAAGATTAAGGGCCAAGTCTTCTTTCAAGAGGAGATAATTAAGAATTAGTGGTATTCTGGGGGAGGGGGTGCCTTTCGATCAATATATTTGTTTTTTATTTCCAAATCATTAAACAAATTATCATTCCCCCCTGCAGATAATATTGTTCATCCTGCTCTCTACACGTTGGTAGAGTTATCATTCTCGTTTTCGGTCGATAATTTAATTATATGGATCCTTCAAAATAATTTTTTTTTAATTTTTCTTTTTTTAATTTAATTTTTTTTTCTGTATGCAATATATGTAGTCAATATATGTCTATAAAATATTAACAGATATTAAATAAAGATTCTTGACTGTACACTTACGAAACTCTATACTTGAAAGTTTTTATACCCAATACCGATGCAAAACTGTAAACTAGCTGAGGATAGGATGATAAATATATAAAAATAAAACAGGAGTTATAAATTTTACCGAATAGATATTCAAATATATTCGAATATTCTTACCGAATATTCAAATAAGAATAATTGGCCAGTTTGGCACCCATAGTTGTTTGAATATTTTTTTTTATTATAAGCTTTGGGGGTAAGGATTGGGCAGAAATCGGAGATCCAATTTTTACATTATAATGCATGTGAACAGGGGGAAAATCATCTCCAGAACAGCAGAACCATGTTGATCTTATTGATATTGAAGCAAACCTATCTTGTGTGGATTCAACTTTGAGTAAATTATATGACTAGGTTTTTGTTCACAATACGGAGCCAAAATTTTTATGAAATTAAAGAGGAAAATTTAAAAAATACCGACGAAGAACAGCAGGCAAAAGTGAATCACGTGAGCGTTGAGGCCCATGAGCCTCGCGTTTTAATTTGTAGCATTTGTAAGCAAGAATCGTCACCGGACGAACGAAGCTAAAAAAAATGCCTTGGGTGAAGCTCTGGTATATTCTTGTGATGTTTTATACTGAAGGCGAAATTTTGATTAAATTATAACCAATTTACAGTGAAATTATCATTCGTGGATTTCGTGGGTCACCCTTGCTCACGAATTTACACCCCACAGATAATTATTATGTCAACATAGCGATTCATTCAATCTTCAGTATTATGAGTTACCCATGAAATACGATCGACCCACGAACCATGAAGTAAACGTTTGCTTATACCCACGAACACTGACCCCCCAAAATTAAAAATCATTCCACAGCAAGCCTATCCAAAGAGTTGGTAATTGTTTGATATACCAGAACGTAATATTGTTCAAAATAAGTCAGGGTATTGAAAAGTTAAGTTAATTACGAAGAGTATTAAATTTGACGAAATATTGATCAAAGCAACTATAAATTTAACGTTTTACTTTAGGTCTAAACATTGATGAAAATGATCACAGATGCTCTTTTCATTTGGAATATGCTCAAATTTTACACATTCTTTGGCGATATCTTTTGATTCCTGTTAAAATTGATGTGATTAAAGTATCATTCATGATTGTTACAACAGACTTCAATATGCCAATACAGTCAAATTGTAGTTTCTTCAACATGACACGTTTTGCTCTATATTGCATTCGCAGTTCTTGCCCATTTTCCTGAATCAGTAAATGCATTTCCCCCCTAGAAAATGTGCATGATTATTTAAGTACAGTTGTAGTTCGGTATCTCGAACATTGATATCTGAATACATGGATATGTCGAAGTGATTTTGAAATCCCAAGTGCTTAATAAGTTTTTTACCCTGGACATCTCGAATCCTCGGGTATCTCAAAGTATTTTCTCGATCCCGTCGAGTTCGAGATAACGAGGTTTGATTGTATAATACTAAGGAAGACTGTCTTCCTACACAGGCGTCATTAGTGTTATTTATGTATCTGCTTTATACAATTTATTACAAGGTTTTAAAAAAATTAATTCATACCATAGTGGCTTGTCCTTTGGATTGTTAAATGTAAAATAAATTTTTTAAAAATTTGAATCTACTTTAAATACACTTAAAAGTTGTTAAAATAAAGATTCTGACACTTTCAGTCAAGAAAAACCACATTTAAAAATGACGTACCACACCTATATACATAAACTCTACAAGGGAAGAAAGCTCCCATCCTGGAAAAAATACCACAACCCACTTCAGCGCCTATTTCTGGACTCTAAAACAGTAATTTATTTCGTTGTCATGGTTCTGTCCCCCACTGAAAAATCGTCAAAGACAACGAAGTATTGGATGAACAGAAATCACTGTTGTGTACCTAAGTGGGGAAAATACAACAGAGCTTTCAATAATTTTGAAGTGAGGTGGTAAATTTATTCATTTGAAAAGGCTATTTTAGAATTATTTCCAACAGTTTATTTTGCAAATTATGAAATTTGAAGTGGTGCATTCCAACCATTGAAGCAGGAATAAATTACCTCCTGTCGCCCCACACTGTAAGCCCTGTACATGCAAAGTGTTCACTTTCTTTATCTCGGACTATTAATAAGATGTAAAGAATGCTTGAATTAATTACAAATTGAGTAATGTACTGTAGATGTCAATTCATTTTATTTTACATCAAAGGGCAGCATAAAACTACCACAGAATCAAAACTCCTTAGTGTGCAGTGTATTAAGCTATGCACTTCCTGGAATTATCCTATGGTGGCAATTTTATTTGGTCCTTGACCTCTGTATCATTTTGACCTGATGTAACATTTACACCTTCACCATCACCAAAATATGAAGTCTAAGTCACACAACATCTTAAGGATACATAACACAAACAAAAAGTTGAAGCCTGGTTTGATATATATTTTTTGAATAGAAATGACATGAATCCCTAAAATGTAAACAAAATCGTAAGTTTTCTTTTGTGCTTAAATATGCGACTTTGTTTTGTTTCCTACATAATTCTATAAAAATTTTGCATATTTTTAACATTGCGGCAAAATCTTACAAAATTCTCCATCTTTACCTGGTAAATATTATTCAGGTTACTTATTTCAATATAAATCTATGAGAAATTTTGCTGATTTCTGAAAAAAAAGTTTGTGTTATTTATCCTTAAGGGCATGGGTCAGCTTTGAACATCAGCCAGTTACAGAAAAAGTGGTACATGTACCAATGCGACTGCCATGGAGACAGCACCATTTACAAACAAAATTAACAAGTCAACTAAATATCACATTCATCTTTAATATCAGGTAAAAATATTCTTTTTAGAAGATACATTTACATGGAGTAAATATAATACATACGAATGATTATAACATTATTAGTCTTGCTTCCATTTTAAGAATCTATACATATAGCACCATCATATTAATATAGAATGTTTCTGTGAAGCTAGCTAGTTTGAGGTATCAGACAAGCATAATTAGGCCTTGACAGAAATTTATTTGAGAAATGGAAATAACTGAACAGAATTCAATAACATATTGTATTAAATAACACATATTTAAATGAATCACTAGTTGTTATTTTTTTTATTAAAACATATGGTTTTGTTTAATGGATACAAAGTCTTCAACTTGCATTGAAAAATTGTGTGTTTAAATGCAAGTCAAGCTTTTGTGTAAATAATGGTTCTTTATGCTGTTATACGTAACTAATCATTTAAACATCTTAAATAATTTGAGACATCCTTTTGATTTCCTAAAACACTGAATAAATACTCGTTTAATGAGGCTTAAAGCATTATAAATGATACGTACATTTAGGCATTATCTGATCAACCGAACAAACTTGTTTAATGTACAAAATATATAACTTTAACTGGATCATGATCCGTTGTCTATGAGATACATGAGTAATAAAATAAACACCAGATGTGTAATTAACCTGCCATCTATATCTACGAGGGTCATTCCAAAAATACGTAGACTTTTGTCATAATTTTATTATCTAACATCAAATTATAACCAAATTTGGTAGATATATTCTAATTTAAAGGATCAAACCATGATGAATATCAAAATAATTTAAAATTTGATCTGTAAAAAATGGGGTCACAGAGCATGTTAAATTTAGTACTTTACTAAAAATACTCTCTATTTTCTCTGTAAAATGGAGCTAAAACAAAATAAAATTTAAGAATAAATTCAAAAGTTAAAAGTGGGAATAAGTACATCATTTCACATGCCAAATTGTGATGTAATACATTGCTTAGTTGAGCAGAAATCAATTCATGAAGACTCATAGTCTGTAGTCCTTTTTGAATAAAGCAAAAAATGATGACGTTGCAGTAGCAATGAGAAGCAATTCAGTTTTGTGTTGCACTCGGGGAAACAAATAAACTCTGAAAATACTGAAGAAAGCAGGAAATATATGAGACGTGCATTGTGCATAAATGATAAAGACATTTTTGGGAGGAAAAGACTTTGTATTGGACAATTGGCAACCCAAGAGGAAACGGACCATCAGTAAAAATATGGTCTCAAGAGTATGTAACATCACAGAGCAATGGGCGCTAATCTATTGTGGAATTTATGCAGCAGAGTTATGTCCGTAAAAAAAAAAATCCCCAAAAACACTATCAGAAGAATAAATGTATGCTACTTGAACAATTATTAATGAACTAAGTGTCGAGCGGTATAGAAATGTTTTTTAGCCAGTGAATAATCCACCAAAGACATCGTGTTAAAGGTAGGAGGGGGTGTATTTTTGAGAAACTGTCATTTTGTTTTTGATCTTATAGTTTTGTCAGGTGAGCTCCAAAGTGACAAAAAAAAAGATTTTAAATTTAATGTAATGAAACTGTATATGTTGACAAAATAAATGTTTTTTACATATAGCAATGTGTTAGTCTTGAATTTCTGAGAAATTATACAAGAAGTGCGATAATGTCTACATATTTTATGAATGACCCTTGTACTATTTGAAAACATTTCTTATGTGGAATCCCAAAGTCGACATAGACTGATAAACATGGTTTTGTTATATGAAGCCGATACATGCTCCATCAGCTGGTTTTTGTTCAACACTGGTCATCAAATCAAGAATAAATGCTGAATCATGGAAGACTATACAAGAAATACAGACTTGGCACAAGCTTATTGTCAGTGGTAAAAAATTAATGCATTTTGCAGGCGGAAAATTCATAAATGAAGATAAATGATTTAATTTGGACCTAGTACAATGTTCCGGTACATGTACCTAACATGGTTTTGAATAGTGAATATATCTTGAAATAGTTTGTTCTATGCTTTAAATTTTTTAAAAAGTAATTTTAAACAGAAAAATTATTGGGCATTATTTTTGAAATTAATACTAAAGAGTGCTTTAAAAATTATGCTTCTAGTATTTGGAATGATAAGAAAGATATTATTTATATTTTTGGAATGTCTCTGTATGGAATATTGCATATAACAATGAGCAATATTTTCTTTCAATGATTAAAACATAGCCCACTGGAACTGTTTATAACCCGTTAGAATTATCTTGAATATCAAAACAGTTCTGGTCTCAACAAAATTATCCTGTAATCTTATTTAATGCTACTAAGATAAAACTAATTTATATGACAATCCATATAATATGTTCTTTGATCAGCTTATGAAAGTAATTCTGTGTTTAACTTAACCAGAGTGACAAAAAGACTAGTGACTTTTTTTTTTTGTAAAAGCACACAACTTTTTTTTAGCTATGTAGGTCTTTCACTCTCACATTTTCCCATCACAACCATTTTCAGATCTCCTCCAATTCTCTCCATGCCCTGTGTTAAAAGCTGGCCATTGACACAATCCCTAATCTGGTTTCACCTCAGTAACTAGCTGTCTACCCACTGAAGCGGAACCCACTGTGGTTCTACTTCCAGTCTGTTAATTTCTCCCAACAATTCACTGTATGCACGGTCCATGTCCTGGTTGACCAGAATATAATCAAAGAAATGTCCATATTTTTCCTCCATTTCCCGAGCACGCTCAATGATGTCCTTCAGCATGTCATCCTAAAGTAAAAATAAATTCCTTGTCATCCTCAAAATAGAATTTGTCATCTTTATCAGATAGAAATTCTTAAATATGCACACCACATCTACCAGAGAGAGAGGGAGAGACTTTGTGGCAAATGTTTATGGTATGCCAAAAATGCTAAGTTTTATGAGAACATTTTGAAAACATTGTGCTATTCATAATGATATTCCATACTTTTTCAAAGCAAAATTTCAGCATGTATAATGGTCATGTATTCTAGATGTGTTCCATACTAGAACAAAATACAATAAAGATAAGAATTCTGATCTTACCGATATATTGTTTTCTGGGTAGAAATTTCTCTGCATTTGCCTCAGCTTCTCCATGTTTGGTGGATACACAAATACTATGTAAGGTTTTAAATCTGATGATTTAAGAACTTGTAAAGACTGAAAAAAAGAGCAAATAAATAATAATTTTAACACATCATAGGACCTTTATCATTTATAGAAAACTTTGGTGTAAATTTCAATTCCCACCCTCTTAAAATACAAAAATGAAAATTAAGTTTTTCTTTTGTTAAGTGACATTTGTAGTCAACATACAGATTTAATTTAATCAATTTTTATTTCCAAATTGAAAGTCATTGGACATCAGGGTTGCGTTCAACAGCGTAGCTGCTTCATAGCCTCTACATAAAGCTACGCTCTTGAATGGAGAGCTAGCCTAGCTGCTATGTAGCTAGAGCTAGCATAAATATTTGATGCTAAGTACCAAATCCAAGATGGCCTCCTTAGTTACAACTTCGCAGCACATATGATTTTAACTAAATGGGAATAATTATGTACATCCTAGCATATTAAATGTACAGGGTGTTTCAAAATATATGTCACACATCTAAAGGCAGAAAGAGAAATTACAACAAAAGCTACATGTACATTTTATATATCATTGTAATCAGCAGATATTCAAAATCATTATTTTAAGTCAAAGTATCCAACATTCTCCATTTCAGTTTCTATGGCAACGATTTCCTAAAATGTTGTACTCTAAGTGTTTTCCTTACCATTGTCCTAAATATCTCAAGAGACTCATTCAGAAATTTCTGACCACTGCTTCGTAAGTTTCACAGGATATTTGACAGATTTCTTGTTTATATCTAGATTTTTGGAACCCCCAACGTGCATATTTATTTTCTTATTTAAAGATGCATTTAAATAAATGTGTCATTTCAGAACTACCGGTATGTGCCGACGTCCACTTCTTTCGCTCTTTCAATCAATTTTGCAAACTTAACTGACTCTGAATGTCAGTTGACTTTAAATGCTGCAATGCTGAAATCTTAGCTTGTAAGATGCTGAAATCTTTAAGACCCAATTAATTCAAATCAAAAATTTCTAAATACACTTGATACACTTACATTGTCCCAATCCATTTACCTAAACTAAGATCTAACTGACTTTCTTAAGGTTTTCTCAATGATTGACTTCAATTTGACAATGTTCTCATTGGGGGGGGGGGGGGGGGGATTTAACTATCTTTCATCTTTACATTATGTTTAGTTCAAACTTCTTCATTAACCTTAATAAATGAAAACTAGAAAGCGCTTTCTGGTCTGGATATTTTTCTTCATCACACCCTGTAGAATATTTAGGATATCATGCTTATAATAAAAGTTTACAAATTTTTGTTGCTAGTTGTACTCTGTTTTGAGAACAGCTGAAATTATGACATCACTGATTACATCATCAGTGTACTTCATGGAATTATAATTTTCCCGATATTTTGCAATACCATAATTTCAGATTAATATGATTTTCTACGGTGTTTTGGTATTTTTGGTATCTTGCTTGATGTTCAGATTATGCCCATTTGGATGTGTGACATATATTATGAAACACCCTGTATATTTACATATATATTTTCGCTTGAAATGAACTTTTTTTGCTCCAAAAATAAGTTTATACCGATATATTTATATTCGAAATTTAACACTTAGCGGCTAGGTTAGCTGTCCATTCAATAGAGATAGATATCTACAACCTAGCTGCTAGGTTACCCGCTACGATCTTGAACGCAGCCCAGGCATAAACCTCTGTAAGTGCTCTTCTTCTAATGATATTAATTCTTTATGGAACACTTGTTATACCTCTGGATGAAGGTTAAGGATGCAGATTTTGCCAGTATTTATCACTTGACGGACAGCATCCAGACTTGTTCCATACAAATTCTTCTCATGCTCTCCATGTTCCACAAATTTATTGCTAACAATATCTGCTTCAAATTCAGCTCTTGTGACAAAATGATAGTCCTTTCCATTTCCCTCATCGCTCTTTGGTGGGCGACTCGTATCTAAGATTCAAACAAATTTGAGTATTACCGGGCATTTCTTTTTTCTTTTCAAGAATTCTCTGATCTAGAAATGAAGAGTTTTTTCAACAAAAGTGCTATTGTATGTGCTGCAACTCTACCACTCAATATATCTCATGACTTCTTGTATTCAGTTGATGTTTTGGAAGTTAAATGTGTGTATTTTTTAGGACAATTTTTTTGTTGGAAAACTTACGAGGAACAGCAGCTGCAAATCTATCAAAATCGGACTCCATTAACCTTGACCTTAATTCATGACGGCCTACATTTGGTGGACCAATCAATACAATTGGCCTTTTTCGATTGGGTTGTGGGTAATACATTTCCACTTCTTCATAAGTTAATATTTCCTCTGTTTCTAGAAAATAAACAACAAAAAGTCTTCATAAAATAGGGGTTTTTTTTAGATTAACTTGCCAAAATTACATGATTTTTAAATTTGAAAATGATACATACCATACAAGGATTTGCGTTTTCTTTTCTTGTCCCTTCTGCCACAAGAACAAGTTTGACTTTTTTTCTTGCTTTCTTTTGTTTCATTTTCCAACATGATCTTATTACGTTCCTTCCTAAACATCAAGAAACAAGGAAGAAATTTTAAAAATAATGAGACTGAACCTTACAAAGAAGTTCCAAAGATATGGAAACATTGTCTTTCTATTTATTAAATTATTCTGTGCATTCTTAACTGGAATAATAAACATCTCATAACCATAGTTATACAGGTACATGTATCTGAATCTTTAGATTTACTAGTCTTTTCCCACTTTCTCTGCTTTGCATGAATGTACATACAAAGACTTTCCTCACTTAATGAATCACTGTTCCCAAATAAATAGTCACATATAAAATCTACGTACTGTTCCTGGAATGAGCGACTAGGGATGAGTCCGGCCAGGGACTGATGTTCCTGCTCCCCCTCCCGATAAGCCTGCCACCAGTTTGAATCCTCTGTACTGATCACATGGAGAATATCCCCCTTCATGAAGGATATTCCCAGCTCTCTGCAGGGAATGTATATATCCTCCTCTGGGTCATAGTTAAACAAGGCCTTTACATGAATCTGTGGAATAACCAGTAATGGAATGTCAACAAAACTATGACATGAAGTTGACCACTTAAAAAATGACAATATTAACTGAACAGTTATCCATTGATAGCTTTAAGGGGAGAAAATTTCAAAAGTATATGTATATTTTATAATTATTCAGCAAATTGTCCATTTAAACAAGATTCTTCATCCTAATTTTTCTACTGAGAGGTTGATTTAGCTTTGCTATACTGAAATACTGATCATCAACTGTAATCATTTGTTTTTATTACTCACCATCTCCTCCTGTTCGCGAGGTGAGAGTTTGGGGGTAAAGTTGCCTGCTGGAATGATTGTGAAGTTTATGTTTCCACTCATATTGGCCTGAAAAATTAGAGGAGAAAAAATAATTAAAAAAGAGACTCAATTAGTCTTAAAAATAACGCACATTCGCAATCAATATTTAAACAAGGTTAAAGTTTTTCAAAAGTAGGTCAAACTCCAAGGTCAAGGTCAAAAGGTCAAAGTTGTTGGTATCCAAAGGAAGGCCTTGTCACAAAAAATACACATGTGAAGTTTGAAACCCCAAGCACCAACTCTTCAGAAGTTATGGCCAAGGTTAAAGTCTCATAAAATTTTGCAAAAGTGGGTCAAACTCCAAGGTCAAGGTCAAAAAGGTTAAATATGATGGTACCCAAAGAAAGGTCTTGTCACAAGGAATACACTTGCGAAATATGAAAGTCATAGCTCCAACCAATCAAAAGTTATGGGCAAGGTTAAAGTTGACAACAGACAGACAGACAAACGGACAAACAGATAAACAGACAAACAGACAGACAGGACAAAAACAATATACCCCCGGGATCTTTCGATCCGGGGGCATAAAAACAAAATAATTTCCACTCACTTATTGGAAGTTACTTTCTAGAGAAACTTTTTTGAAGAGTACATATTAAAGTAAGAATAATCATTATACAAATAGTTTTCCAACCAATCAAATAAACAAATTTACAATGCAGGTGCACTGAATTTTTTATTAATCTTCTCAATCTGCACAACTATTACACTTACATTAGTGTTTCCCTACAAATCAATTTCATCTAAATTCTCCACCTCCCTTAATAATATATCATTCCATGTTGTATGGTGAACTTGAATGATTTAATGAAGTACATAACTATGGAGGCCCTGAACTGATCCATTAATTGTGCTCTTTTCCAAGCCATGAACAAGAAAGCCATCATTCAATCTAAATGCAAATTCACATTAGAGCCCAAGCACTGGTCATTGTTATTGGAAACGGCACCATTGCGTTACAATGTCAAAAATTGATTTTTCCTTTTGAATCAATTCTGTTTAAGATATTACTGTATAAAGCAATCCAAACTGTTTCCCTTGGAATAAAGTAATCTTCAAAGAAAAAAAAAGAAAAAGGGAGGGCGAAAAATGAGATTTCAAAGAAATACTTGGCTAGACATGATGTCAAATCTTCCGTGGTAGAAATCTATCTTGAATCAAGTATTCATATGGAGGTGAAAAATGACTGCCTCCCCCTTTCACAAGCTAATAAAAAATACAGTCAGTAGGTAGGATTTTGGTGTTATTTTTTTTTTTAACACAAAGGCTTAACTTTGAAATACAATTTTTAAAAAGACAGTTTCAAGCTCTCTTCTTCTAGTCATAAAATCCTTTTTTGATATTGGCTACTAGAAAGTGAAAGTACGACCTGTAACCCATTATTTATTAAGGAAAACATACCAACATGCTATATCTGAATTTTACAACAAAAAAAATATTTGGGTTGGCGCACAAAATTAGGGTCTGTCTGGTTGCTGTAAACAAATATATTTTTTCTTAGGCCTAAGGGTATACCCAGTACACAAACAAAGTAATGATTATTAAATTGGACCTTAATGATACTACTAACAAAATAAGAAGCAAAACAAATGCACTTAAAATTTTATATCACAAATTACATAATGAGGAATTTGCGATAATAATTGAAATTATGTTCAATAGATAGTCCTTTTATGCAGATTAACATATAACGGAAATCATTCATTAAAATCTTCCTTGGTCACATAGAACAGGAAGGTCCTTAATACATGTACATTGGGTCACCTTTTTAAAAAAATATTTTGAATCTTAAATTCCATGCATCATTTCCACAAAGAAGTTGCAGCTACACTTGACTTAAGTGCTTTTCACAGTGCAGGATTTTGTTTAATTTTTAGCTTAACATCAACCTTATCTTTTTATCATATATATTGTAACTAATACATACCAACAAATCTGAAACGTCATTGATATTTTTGCCTCTCATGTCTATCCCGTTCACTTCTAAGATTTCATCTCCTTCATGTAGACGACCTACATATAACAGTCAGCAGTTGTTAATCTGGTCACAATAGTCTATACTGCTAGGACATAGCATTAAGATTGGCTATGCCATATCCATTCCACAAAAAAAAGATCTAATTGAATATGCATTTTCCTACTTCATTTTTATTTTAATTCATACATAAATGAAAAAAATTACTGTAATAGCTTTTGACCAATAAAACTCTCAAAGAAAAGATAAAAGCTGGACAGCATTGATGCCTATTTATATACAATACAGGGACCTTTTTCTATTTCAGCAATAATTCTAATTCTCTTAAAGATTAGGTCAGAGATTAATATGCTTACTTATTACATCCCCTTGACTGATATCAGAAGATACGCTCCTTCAAAGGAACCCCAATATTATTTGTTGCATTTTACGTGAGGTCATGCAGAAGAACTATTCCCCTTGAATAACTGTGCAGCCCCAACATTTGTCATTTTGAGGTTTATAAAGCACTAAATGGGGATTTAAGATCATTTTCTGATTAGGATAGCATGAACGGGGAATAAATCATGAGAATCCCATTAGAATCTGGACATTTAGAATGAATGCTTTAATTGTACCTATCTTGGGTTCTCTCTTCATTAGAAGTAATTACCTTTCCATCTGCAATTTTTATGTTGAACATTTTAAGGTTTTTTTTCTTTCTATCATTTATTTCCAATGATAAAAAGACAATATTAGGGTGAGATAGAAACAAAGCTGGATCAGCTGGGAAAGCCCAAACATTTTTCTTTGGCCTATGCTGATTTCAATGCCAGTAATACTGCTTGTATGCTAGCAATGCTACTTATGCTTAAAGATTATGCTCATTACTGGCAGTGCTGAGAAATTGCTGTTTGATGCATGCGTATACCTATGCTAAGAATTCTTAATTCTGATTTTTCTTATGATAATGCTTATCTGTGTTCAAGAAATGGCCCGTGTACTGCACTTTCAACACTTTTTATTAATTGTGAAAACTGGTTTAAGTCTATTGTAAACAACTATGAATTCTAAATATTCACAGCTGGATGTTGACTCTTACCACTTTTTTCTGCTGTTCCCCCTTTCACTATCCTCCCTATTATAACAGCATCCCCATCATTACGAACAGTGGCACCCTACAATCAAAATATTTCAGGCATCATTTCAGAAAAAAATACTTTTTACATTCAAAATGAGTTACCAAATTATAAGATATACTAAGAGTCATTCTTATTCCTGTAAATGCACTTGAAATGCCTCAGGTTGCAGAATTCTACGATGGCCGACAGCGGCCACCACTTTTGATTCTGAATATTGTCGTTTTGTACAGCTTTTTTGTCAATTTTCATTGACAAATGACAAATTACAACTGAACTGGTAATGCTATATATCCATATACAGTTTTTACACTGACAATTTACACTGGAGTAAATCATTAAAATTCTTTCTTGTGATATGAAATGAAGATACATAAAACAGGTTACTTAAAGGTGATAAGCTTAAGGTTCTAGCAGAACAGCAAGGTCGGGGTGATTACAGATTAGTATTGTCTTCTAGATATTTAATATTATATGCTTTCTCGACAGACTGTAGTAATTAATTCATAAAATTCCATGTTAGTGTACCTGCTGGTCACATCATAGGTAACCAGGATGAAATTTTCCAGGTCTATCAGAAATTTGATTTTGTTCATAATCGGAGGTGTCTTTGATGTATGAATTTTGTTTTTTAAACAATGCGCACGAGGAAATGATCACATTAGTTACATGTACCTATATTTTCATTCCCGTGCCACATTGAAAAATAATTGGCCGACCAGGTGGAAGTCTTGAAAGGTTGCGTTGGCCTTTAAAAGTGTTTCAAGCATTTAGTTATTAATTTTATGTATTTAGAGAGCAAATACAGACTCCCACATTTAAGGTTGTCATTTTATTCTTGCTTAAAAACGGGTATATTTCCGTATCTAAAGTTTGGTTTTTGATACATTCCATAAACTTTTGATTGGATGCTCACATGTAGAGCTACTAAATCCTGTTTTTCTACCTCTACATAATAGGTAGAATCGAGTTGTCTCATAACTTTGAGGATCGAGATATATCCATTATATTCATGTATATCCATTACAACAAACGTATTACTTTTATTCGCCTTTTAATTACAATCCCAAGAATATCTTTTTAATGATACAACAAGGTGACAGAATGACGATTTATGTCTAATCTAGGATTAACTGGGTTACGATATCTCAGACTAATTGAGGATGAAAATCATTAAAATGCTCCTCATCTCTTTCAAGCCACCTGTTTTATGTATCTTAATTTCATATCACACGAAAGAATTTTAATGTTTTTCGCTGGTGTAAATTGTCAGTGTAAAAAGTGTAGTTGTAATATGTCAACGAAAATTGACAAAAACGCTGTACAAAATGACAATATTCTTAATCAGAAAGTGGCGGTCACTGTCGGCCATCATAGAATTCTGTCATAGGGGCCAAAGTCTATATTGAATGGTACCTTTAGAAAAATTGATCACTTTGTGAACCATATGTAAGAACATACCAGAGGTTCATTGGTTTTTTGAAGTTGAACAATTTTGATGCTGTCCTCTCCATACGTTTGCATAGAATACTGCTCGAAAGCTTCATCTGGGAGGCTCGTCACAGGTTTGAGCTGTTGTGCTGCCACTAAATCATGTGCTCGAAAAAGATTCTGAAAGAAATATCCATAGAATGTCAAACAAATTAGTTTACAATTACAATTTCATGTTCAAAGAGATTAATGCTTTTGAAATCCTTTTTTTTCTACATTCATAAAATTTAAAATTAGACTTTATATCATCAGATAAAAGATTTAGATTGTACAAAGATAGCTATTCAAAATTTTCTCTGACATGCCAAACTTTGAAATTCTACATGTAATTAGAAAGAAGCATTTCATAAAACCAGTCTCATATTTCATTTGATAGCATAGTCATTCTGCAGATGCACAAATAATGCAGTATACACATTACATTATTGTTCCTTGATAGAACAATGTCAGAAGAGAAGACGTCAGTCCTGCACTTCACTCAATACATGTATGTTGTATTAACTGCGTATTTCTTATCTAATTTCACTCACTCTGAAGCCTGGTGAAGAAAGCATCTCCAGCAGGTCTGAGGAGTAGGGAGATTGTGCATTTTGTAACTCCTCCATCACCTCATTAGATGTCTGGTAGGCATCTGTAGCCTCGGGTTTGGGGGGAGGAGATTGTGTAGTCACACTGATCATTTTTCTGTGGATGTTGACAGCTTGTTGAAACTGAGGACTTTGAAAGAGAGTAGTAAGAAAAGACAACTCATCTCTCTCCTCTGCAGCATTCAATTTACTCTGTAGTTTCTTAAGACAGGTGAAAATGTCTTTTGTACCTGCCAAAAGTAAGGTTATACAATATTAATGTAGCAGAGAAAAAAGGTAACAGAATTACACAAAAAGGTAAGAATTATTGAAAGAATTCTGTATACAGACAGAAATATTAAGAATTTCAGTAACAAATATGTCCAACAAATGCTCAGACATGATTTTTTTCTTTCTTTCAAAGGCAGCATGCTGAACATATTTGTGATTGTAAGTGTAATTGCCCTATTTACTTATATTTATATTAAAACATCACTGTGCATGCAATTAATAAGACACTTTGTCGAAACAATATTTAGAATCTTATTGTATATACATTCATTAGCTCACCTAGATTCTTTTTCATGTATCTGTCCTTTTCTGAAGCCCTAGTGCTTCCAAATCCATCATCCAAGTTATCCATTTCATCATCATTTTCCTCAAATGCTGTGTTGACCATGCCTTCCACATTGTGACCTCTGCTCTCCAAGGCCTGCAGTTTCTTTGAGCCTCTGAGAGATGTGCGTAAAAATTCCTGTTCCCTTGCAATTCGACTTTCCTCCTCACGACGTTTCCGTAAATCTTCTTGATGTTTCCGCAACCGTTCCAACTGTTCCTGTGTAACAGGAACATTCTGCTGTCCATTTGATATCACCTCTGGCTGCGATTTACCATCTGGCAGTTTTTCTATTGACTTGTTGGGAGTGGAGGGATGAGAATATGGGGAATGGGAGGAGGGGGGTCTGGGATGCGACTTGACTGTCGCTGTAAAACTATCTGGACAGTCAATAGCCATTTCTCTATGTGGACCTGGGTCATCCACTTCAAAAGAGTTCTCAGTATATGGATAATTAAAGCTGTCTTCTTGTTCATGATAGTACTGTAACTCCTCCTGTGAATGATTCAGAGAGTTCTGGCTGCGAGCATTCTCTATGAGAGGGGTTTCTGTCGTACTGTTCCTCTTAGCTTTACTGTCTTTGCGACCTTTGTCACCTTTACTTTTCTTTGTCATTTCCTTTTCACTGAAACCGTTCATTTCCACTTGCTGTAAGTGACCATTTCCCAGTGGTTTGCCTTTGGTATTCACAGGCATGGAGGACTGATTAAATTGATAACTCTCTACCTGGCTTTCTTCTGATGCTGTATTTTGATTACTCAGTGCTAGTTTTGTCATATCAAGGGGAACAATTGTATGAGTTTGGGACAATTTCTCCAGCTTCTCTTTGGCAGCATCTTCAACAGCTATCATGTAGGCATCCTGGACATTTTCAAATGATGGGCCTGAAATACAAAAAAGTAAACTTCAAGACTGTACACAATCAACTTTGCATTTCTAATGTACCACTAAAGAGAGTTAGCATATCATTTACATATAATTCTAACAAGATCAAGTTAATGCCTTACAACAGAATCACTCATTTGTGGAAGCATCATTACAAAACCTGAAATTCCAACATGATAAGAGTTAAGACTTAACTTAGGCTTAGAATTGGTTAAGTTAATCAATATTTGATTTTTCTGGACATGATCTACAGACTAGTTTTATGTTAAAACATGGTAAAGAAAATACCCACGGAGAACAACAAAGCCATCTTCAGTCCTTTACTGACAATGCTTTTAAAATTCCTAACAAAAATAGTTTATCCTGTGAATTTACAGCCAACATTTACAAACAACATAGTTTGGCAGGATTCCTTTGCCAGTATAAGAATTATTGCCTTACAGGACAGTCACATACCATTACAATAGCAGGTTTAACACCTCACTTAAAGCATATATACATTTAATTCAGTTACAAGTAAGAGGTATGCATTCGTATAAAAATAATGTAATACTTTCAATATTTTGATTAATTTTTAAACTTTATTCATTAGTATGAATCCCTAAACAAATTGTACTGAAGTCTGAAAATCAAAGTAAAAATTTGCTGGGCTTTATTAACAAAATGTTAGTTACATTATCAAAATGATATGTGAATCAGCTCTAAAAAATTTAGGCAAATTGAAAGCAAATTTCATGACTGACAATCAATGCATATTATGACTAAACCTCACCAGAAACCTGCCAAGTTTTAGCCTTTGAGGCAATCTGGTCTCTAAAATGACAAACAAATCATCTAAAATCTGTCCTTACACATATGCATATAGTCTAGTGCAACAGCCTGCAGGCTTTTTGTTTACATGTCATTTTAACAAATACACAATTTGTTTCAAGTCAACAAAGAATCAGGCACATAGTTTCATATTGGATTATTTGACTGATCACCTCCACTGTCCTTTACAAACATCAAGTCAATCTATAATAATTTCTTCCATCTCTCCCATCTTGAGTTAAATCAATACTAAACAGGATTAGTGGTAGAAAAATTTTCTCTATTATCCAATCTTTAAGAAAAAATACCCTCAATAAATTTCCCACCTCCTCCAAAAGGTAAAACCAAAAATCCATTTCCTGATTTAATTAACCAATTTAAACTCCTCCCTAACAGCTAATTAGAAAGAGTAAGAAAATGCAAAAAGGGGGAACTGATTAATTTGAGGTCCAGACAATTCCAAATACAGTATCAAAGTTTCTCTGGCAACTATTACTTACAAGGTGATGGGGTACTGTTACATCCCTGCACTTTTCCCACTAATGCCACATACATTTAATTAAGAATCAACAAGCTCAATATGCCAGTGACAGAATACCTCCAGGAATTTGGAGAAGGAGTCAAGCCTGTTGATTAATTCGCCTGATCAATAAAGTGTATTTAGATATATACCGCATAACAATACACATTTTAAAAGTCAGATGGCAAGTTCCTTGTCTGCCCCCAAAAAACTGCTTGACAGGAGGACTTTGGGGTACATCTCAAGAAACAAACATTGTGATCTTATCACTCACAAAAAATGTCACAAATCTGATATCCATCTTTTCCAAAATATCTTTGTCACAATGACAGAAAATTCTATTACATTAAAATCCAACAAAACATCATTGTAACTGCAGCCAGATAAATTCCATCTATGAATATTTTGAAACAATCCCCAGGTCTCCTGTCATCTATAGTTTGTACCTCTACAAATTTTTTAAACAAGATGCAGGGACATTTCTCCTCCCAAGTTTACAGATAAGTAACTGATAAACCCACATAGAATTTCCACACAAAAGATGTAAAAATGTCCAACAACATGGTAATATATTTGGTATAATTACATGTATAATCTTTACAGCATAATTTCTACGTGATACAAGGTATAAATACACTCTTGACAGCAATTGACAGGTGCACATCTTAAAGTTACACCGTTTTATGTTCATTTCATTCATGTGTGTCGATCAACCGTAATATTTCCTCATAGTCATGCCAGATTGATCAACATGTGCATACTGTAAAACACCTTCGAAACTTGGGTGTTCCTTAAAAGTACTACAGTGAAACCTGTCTTATCCGACATGCTGCGGGAAATAAAATCAATGTCGGATTAGACAGTGTGTCGGATTACCCAGTGTTGAATATTTCTGAGCGTTATGATTGGTGTCAAATGACTTCAAAAACCATTTTTCATTAGGTTTAGAGTACACGTGTATTTAATTGTCAAAACGTTTGCATAATTGTGTGTTTCTTTGTTGTATAAAATATACCTTCGTCAATTAGCATCTCTTTGAGCATTAGTAAACTCTGTAATAATATACGATGTTTGTTTTGTTAATGGACAAAACAGATGGAACTGCCGATCGCTTCGAGATGTTGCAATTTAATTTTTAGCATTTTACTAAAGCAGTAGATGGTTAAGTAAATATTTCGTTTACATGTACCTTCTTTACACAGTGGTATTATTTTTATTTTTTCTACACTACATTTCTCTCCGAATTTTCTCTACTGTTTACTTCTCAACATAGCTAGACTGTGGTATTAATACCGTCACGCGACTTTTCATACAAACCGGACGTAACTCTAAAACATTGTGATTTTTATCAAACAATCGTAATATTTTAAAATTGAATGGGCAACTTAAAGCGGTATTTTTGCTTCCGGCAAATCCTTTATGTGCACAGCCTTGCTTAATTCAGTGTATATTAACCCTGAAATGAAACTTTTTCTTTTAAACAAGATGTACCATTCAACTTGTGTATTATCTACATGTTACGTTCGCCGTACTCTTTTTTTTCGGGACATGGCTTTATGAAGGACTGACTGCATGTTTGATTTTAATTTCAAGCTAAAAATCTTAATGGAATCAAAATATCATGTACTCTTTTTATTTTCTGTCGCGTGGATGCTATTTCTTAAATGCGAGAATAAAACTGATAACAACAAAGAGAATTGATTGCCTAATTTTTTAATTAAAAAACTGATCATTTAACGCTTACATAAACACTTTCAAACTTACATGTAATTAACAACTCTTTAAGTAGACCAATCTTGTGGCCAATCGGGGCATTCATGTCACCTGGCCTGCGGCTTATTACGGAACACCCGTGTAATTATGTCGGATTACCCAGGTGAAATCATAATGTAATTATCTAGTTTTGATGACAAAAAAGCGCCGGAATTCAGAATGTACAGTGGTCGGAATATACAGTGTTTTGTTCTATATAAAATTTAAAGAAATTTTTGGGAATAAAATATGAGGTCGGAAAGTCCAGTGTGCCGGATTGCACAGTTGTCGGATTGGACAGTGGGCACTGTATATATATTATAATTATATTAACAGTATATATCTTTCAACACACCTTAGTCCCTTTAAATATCCAATGCAGGGTTCGACACTAACTTTTTAAGGCTTTAGTCCAGCCGGACTAGTGCTTCATTACTTTTACTAGCCCGCACGCGATTTTATTAGTCCGTCAAAAAAAAAGAAACATCAATATTTTTAACATTAATTTAACATGACAATTAATATACGTATTATTTTTTGAAATAAACAAAGTATTTACGTAAAATATCTTATTCTATAGATTCATTGAAATCTCGCAATCAGCAAGTACGATCGTATTCCCGATCTCGTTTTTTTTTTTTTTTGGTCTTTACATTACATCCAAAACTTCCAACATCTTTCTTAAAAGTGTCATACTAAATCATGATCGCTAAAACCTTATACTTCATATCGATCAGTCGAAAAATTAGGCGCTGAATTGACCCAGCATTGCGTAACTACCCGCCAAAAGCTAGAAATCTAAAAATACACGCAGGTTTTCCAGTAAAAGTTGTTTGTCGAGAATCGGACATCAGTAATTTATTCATATTGTCTTTCAGAAATTTTTATTGGTCCGTTCGGACTAATTAGCCACATATTTTATTAGTCTGAATGAAAATGTATTAGTCTGAGACTAACGGACTAACGTTAGTGTCGAACCCTGCAATGAACACAAATTCTTAATCAATCAAATAGCATGCGCTCCTAAATTTTCTCAACTAAGAAGAAAATATATACAAATATAACTTAACTAATAAAAGACAATACCTCACTACCTCCATATTACAGTGAATTTTGACATTCAATGGTTTCTTCAAACAAGTTGTTTTATGTATGTTCAATAAGAGGAGATGGCATAAAAAATATTTAAATATGTGTATGAACAATTAACACCTGTAAAGTATCTTTTATCATTCATATAGTATCATTTTTCAGATAAGGGTATATGTGCTATCAGCTTGTATCCACTTGTTTACGTAATTTTTTGTTTTTTTCTAATGACAGAAACAGTTTGATATAACTAATTCACCTATAATATGGACTTTCAATAGAAGGTGATGTGTTCATATTCCCATCACAAAAAACTGCCAAAAAAGGTGATACATGCAGTTGCTATATATTTGGTATCAGACCAAGTAAAAAATAATCTACATTTCACACAGCATTTTCTACAATCAAGAGGTTAAGCTTACATCATCTTGTTTGTCAGCAAAAGCTGAAATTCAGACTATCAGTGAATATGTCCTACAACATGCAAATTTAATATTAATTTTTAAAAAAAAAATGACAATAGCATTTGCTAATTGATGCAATTGCTCAATTTAGCATGCAATATTCAGGATTGACTCCGAAGGAAGAGTAAGAATTCAATCCAGTAGTCAATGGATGCAGGCAATTAGCAAGTAAAAAACAATATTTTGCAAATACTTTAATATTTTTTTTGGCATTTTGATGTAAAAAAAAATATATACAGAACTCTCTTAACAATAAATCATCCCATTCTAATATATAAGAACAAAACAACAAAATGATTACTGTAAACATATTTATTTTAGCTTTAATTATATTTTAGCACTTCTCACACTGCTGCTTATCCTCTTATTAATGTACAGGCTAATATATGATTTAAATCAATACATGTCGTTTTTAAAGTCTGGTGCTTTATGACTGTGCTTATCAGTTGAGGAGGACAATTGTGCTAAACTTTGAGTGCACTAATTTATGTATGTTAAAATATTTCTTATCCAGTTTTAGTCAGACTAATGATGCTATCAAAGCAGACTTTTCCCCCCATTATTTATTAACTGCTGACCTTATCTGCAAAGAAAATTACTTAGAAAATCACACTCAAATTCCTACTAAAGAGAAAATGGTTTTTTAAATCGAAAATATGTAATTAAATGAATTCATCCATAACAAAACTAATTTGAACTTTAACAAGTTTAAAACCACTGAAAAAAATACATGCAGTATAAAAAAGTAGTACAGAAGTTCAGAAATAAAAAATTTCCTAAGCCTGCAAGTCACAAATTACACAGTATCCAGTTACTGGATATTTCCTGTCTTCACATCTCCTTAAAGACTAGTCATTTATTTTATGCAATTTAATCACTTGGTTGTCTGATATCCATTCTTTAGGGAATTTTAATATTTTGACCTATATTTCAAACAACATACTGGCACATAATAACAATAAATAATTCAGACATGGTACAGCTAGATTATCAATACACAAATCAATATGTGGTCACTTATATAGGACTTTAAATATATCTGTATAGATCTGTTCAACGTTCCATCTGTCTCTAAATTAATATCACACTTGCACTAAATTTAAGTCATCAATAGCCACGCGCTTTGCCTATAAATCCCAGATGTACACAACTGAGACATTTCATAACATTATGTTTAACAATTTGAAAAAAAAAATCTTACAGGTGTTGCACGAGTGATATGCAGCACTTTGACATAAACAATATAAGACATAAAAATGTCCAATACAATGAATAGAGCCACATCACATATCTGTGAGGGAATATGTATTTATTACATTTTCAACAGTGAAATACTGTGATTTATTTATTGAATAAAAGTGATATTCTCTCACAGTGTGAAAGGATACCAAAATGATATTCTCTCACAGTGTGAAAGGATATCAAAGTAAGTAAAAATAATTTTTGGCCTGTCAAAAGATATAGATAGTAACTAAGCATCTTGATAGAACTAAAACTGCAAATTTCTTCCCAAATATGTTGCTAAAATCCATGCTATGTAATGTTTTCAATCACACAACTGCTAAGCTATGACTTCTTTACCGCTCAACTATGACGTCAAGCCTATGACACTGTTAAGAAAAGACAGCTAGAGGCAAAGGGAAAATCAAAAAAAATGTAATAAACAGAAAATTCAATGTTTTGTAGATGAATATGGAATTTATTTCACTCGTGAGACAGGATTTTTTGATATTTTCACTCGTGCTTCGCACTCGTGAAAATATCAAAAAATCCTGTCCCACTCGTGAAATAAATTCCATATTCATCTACAAAACATTGAATATCCTCTATATATACAGAGTGATTATTCTGACCAGTAAATCTTACCTCCTGATTTATTATTCTTCCTTCTTCTGACTCTTAATTTTATACACCTACTCCTGATGCACTAAAAAGCCAAAAAATATAAACAAATAAAAATAAACTAATAAACATTAATTATATTAATGTACTTTATTGTCATGAAATGGCACGCTCAAACAACTGACCACAGGGAACAAATATAGACAGACACAACGTGAATCATCGGGATAGGCCCTGGTCATCAACACACCTGTACTCACCTATCAAAAACACAATAGAAAGTGTTCCGTGTAGATCTCTTATGACATTGAAAATAATAAATTATTATGCTTATTTACATACTGCCCAAATAATTTTTTTTCCATAATTAAATTTCCGCATTCAATATTCAAAGTTCTGACTAAAGGGACGACTCATCGGTGCATTTCCGACTAGGAAGGGAAAAAATGCATCACCTGGTAAAGGTGCGATAATTATAACTCTTACCTAATTAAAAGTAAAATGCGTAAAAATAAAATCCAAAGAAATTATTTCCAGAAATTCACATCCACATTTAATCTAAAGTACATTTAAAATCCATAGTGTGCCTTTATTCTCTATGGGGGAACTGTTTTTAACACGTATAAATATGCCAAATATTCAAGATGGCAGCTTAGGTCATAAGTAGGTCACAAATATGAGGCCCCTTGTGTCAAGTAAAAATAAAAACATGATTGATTGATGAAAAAAAAATCACTGGTGCATTGCATGAAGACCAATAATCAGAAATAGAACGATAATAGAAACAACTGAGATTAACTTCCAAATGTTTGGAGAATTGACTACATTGGGGGGAGGGGGGTTAATATAAATGCCCCCCCCCCAATAAATAAATAACTTATAAGTAAGCAAAAATATTTATTATTATGTTACCTTAAAACTGTAAGTTTTATTCTTTTTGAGCAATTTGTCCATTTCCTTTTTTTTAAAAAGCAGAGTAGCTGCAGATCCGTAGCTCACTGGTGTGAGAAAAATTGGGATGGATGACCAGAGAGTGACAGTGCCACCAATTGAAAAAATGTATATTTATTGTTCACAAAAAAGTGCAGTTTCTCAATTTATTTCTCCCTATATCCAAGCTGTCATCTCAAAATACAATTATTAACCTTGTTTTCCTAACATATTTGGAGATGAAATGAAACCAGATCTGATGTCAATTTTGTGTGCAATAAGTATACAGTTTATTCTATGGGTGGCACTGTTGCTCTAGGGTCTGTCAATATTTTTTTTTTTTTGAGAGCTACAGTTCTGTAGCTAAAGGCAGAGATGCTTCTTGCAAATTTTTACTGATAGATTAACCAATATTTGAAACTACTCTAGTGTCTTTAGAGACACAAGCCTATATACTTTGGCAAAAAATATTTTATTTTTGCCTTTTTTTAACTCAAAGTCTCAGATAGTGAGCTGGATTATGCCAAAAAAAAAGTTAAGAAATACCATTTTTAGAGTTTCATTAGGATATGACGTGAAGTTGTTCAAGTGATCAAATCCTATAATGCCCCAAGGGTATTATAATTATAGTAGATTTGATCATAGGGAGGGGGGGGGGGCAATTATGTTAACCCACCCCCATGTAGTCTATTCTCCAAACATTTTGAAGTTAATCTCGATTATTTCTATTATTATTCTATTTTCTGATTATTGGAAGTCACAGTCTAGACCTTCCAAATGTCTCCTGCGTTTTGCTTTCCGTTTGCAATGAAGTCGGATCATGAGACTTCATGACATCGAAAATTGAATGCTAATTTTGTTATTATTGACATATAAAGAAAGACATTGGCAAATGTAAATATTTATATATGAATAAATTTTGAATCAAATATTAGATGGGAAGTGGATCCAGAATTATTTTAAAATAGAGGAAGATAAACACAAGATTTACTGATAAGGTCTGACAAATACAAAGTTGGGCCAAAACAAAGTTGGACTGTCCAACTTATCTGACATTGATGATTCAAATAGTTCAATAGTGTCCAAGTTTTGTCAACAAATTGGGAATTTCTATTTGTCCCATGTTTACCCCTTTATCCCGTGGATATCACTCATTGGATATTTTTTTCATATCCCACTGCTGTGACATCACAATGGGTTTTTCATGAAAGTGATGAAGTAAAAAAAAAGTGGATTCCTATATAAAAACAGTGTGAAATATTGATAGTGATGCATAAAACAAGGGATAAAAGAATCTCCCATGATTTGTAGCTGGATATGATTTTTATCCAACTCGCGTGTTTTTATTCCCTCGCCAAGGCTCAGGGATAAAAAAAAAAACCCACATCTTATTGCATAAAAATCATATCCAACAACAAATCATGGGAGATCCTTTATTATTTCACCTTTATATATTTCATAGCTAAATCTTTATAGCTAGTGAGTTGTATACAAAATGTCAGTAGCCACACATGGCAAGCTTCATGATCTGTTTAGAAACCCAACCTCAATTTTCAGCTGTCCCCAGCTAGCGAGCTACAAGCTACAGTTTGTGTGGAACCCTCCCTAACTCCAGAACTCCTGACCCCAGGGCCATAAATTTCACAAATTTGGAAGAGAGACCCTTGCTTATCATACCTTGGCACACAATTTTTGTTCCCCTTTGCCAAAAAGAATGTTCTTAACCAACACAGGTTGAAAATGGTTCAGCAACTTCAGAGAAGATGCTGAAAATATTCAAATGTTAACAAAGCATGATGGGACGGCAATAGACAAAAACAGATAGCAACAGGTCATCCGAGTGACTCAATTAAGTGATCTAAAAATGTTATATGTAAAGAATGGGGGCGTACAAAACGGGGACAATCCCAAGCTCTGGGACAATATATTACTCAATTTTCAAAGATCATGGAAAAGTTATATTTTTCAAAAATTATGTTGTCAGTAATGTCATTCTTAACACATTTGATTCACTTATTTAATTGAATAACTTACTGATTGATAAATTGTTTTTAAGTTGACTGTTCAAGCATATTTAGTGGAAAATGGGTCTATTAATTAGAGCTACATGTATTAAAATCATTTTTAAATGTGAGTGGGTCAAGTCTCCATTCTACATAAACATTTGAATGATGAAAAAATGAATGTAATACCGTATAGTGGGTTTCTTTAGCAGGTGTAAACTTTGGCATTTTGTTTGCTCAAAGGTTATAAATGCCATGAATTTTGGTGGAACTCTTTTTTTGGTGGACACAGAGTACATGTACCATGACATTGCAAAAAAGAAGACATTCATCTTCTAGATGAATTTTTAGTACATTTAATATACATTTGAATGCAGATTTAGGCAAGAGTGTGAGTAAAAACCAATACCAGATGGGTGTACTGTTTAACAACAGACTGATCAAAGCTATTTTTCTTGTATGCAGTACCTATACACAAGGCTGCAAATTTAGTGATAAAATTTTAGCAGCCTACTTCAAAACTGCTAAAATATGCCAAAGTTAGCACCCTGCTAAAAAAAACCTGCTATACATTTTATGCTTAAAATAATGGAATCTGAACCCATTCATTAACATTGTGCCTTATCAAAGTTTTGGAATGAGTTCGAATCGTGCATGTCAGGTTCTGTTTTTTTTTCTTTTCACATACCATAAAGGCATAACTAAAAACAAATTATTTATCAATAAAAAATTCAATAATAAAAAATTCAATAAAATAAAGGAATCAAATGTGTAAAACATGATACTGACAACACAGTTTTTGAAAAAATATAACTTTTCAATGAACTTTTAGAAATGAAAAATATTTTGTCTCAGAGCAGGGGATTATCCTCAAGTTGTACACCTCCTTCACATATAATTTTATTGTACCAAGTACCTTGTGAATGAAAGTAATGACTTCTGCATGAGTGCAGTTTTCCAAAGATCTTCCATTGACTTCCAGAATTTCATCCCAGACTTCCAAGTCAGCTCTGTCTGCTGGGGAACCTATAATGTAAGACTACAATATGTTAACTCTCTGTTCATGACCAAAAAAAAAATCATCAATGAATACTACAAAACAAAAATATTTACTGAATATGCTGCCTGTTCATTTATGTACTTTACTCAACATTATACATTATTATTTTAGATTAATTGCAAGAATTGTGTAATGATGTAGTTATCAATTCAAATTCTTGAATATCATGTAAAGTAAAAAGTCGACTGACAAATTACTCTGACCAAGTCATGAATAGTCATGTGCATGCCCTGCTCAGGGTAAGTCAATCACTGAAATATAAATGCATAATTTTGATGTTGTACAGTTAGAGTTGAACTTCCCTATCTCGAACATGGATATCTGGAATACAATGGATATGTCCAAGAGATTTGGAAGTCTCAAGCACTTTTTCTTTTAGTATTTTACCCTCAATATCTCAAACCCTCAGAAACCTCAAGTTTTTTCTTGGTCCCATTAAGTTCAAGATAACGAGATTCGACAGTATAGGTACAGTCATAAGATACAAATGTTTACACTGATTATTGCAATAGCCCACTGCCATAAGTATCAGGATCTGAGACTAGATATCTATCTGGATATTGTCCATTTCAAGTTTTTCTTAATATAAAACACTTTGTTCTTGTTTGTTTTTTGATAATTACTGGTATGTGTAAAAGTGTAAGTTGTAAGCAGAACACGGTTTATCTCTTGAACAACCCCTCAGTTGTTCAAGATTGTCATGATTTACCTCCCTTTATATTTTCTCTCTCTTGAGAATGCTTTCTCTTATTAAGTACATGTATTTATTTATTTCAAACAAAGTAACAAGAGATGGAATAGATTATCAGCAATATCCATAGTGACACAATCTATAATCTTTCCATATAATGTATAGTTTACAATTCAATGACATTTTCCCCATTTAAAACACTGCCACACATCCAAGAGGAAACAAGGTATGAAATTTTATACATGTCTTCAAACAATATTTCATGAAAAATTAATGGCATAACTGACTGCTGCAGGTATAAACAGCCTGACTGATTTTTTTATTTAATAATCATGATGATAATACTTCCTTATTGTCTTTTCTCCCTGTTGGAGCATTAGAGATATTGTCTCATACATGTACATAATTCATTATACAAATATGGTAATATAATATGAAGTTTATTTTACTTTAACCAGTATAAAATATTTTTCACAACAACCTGGGAATGTTCTGTTGATGATGATTTTAATGATTATGAAGAAGATAATAATTCTGATGACTATAATAATGATCATCATCATTATCATTTAAACCAAATGAACAAGATCTGTGTTACAATACAAAATGTAATAAATGTAATAAACTGAGATTATCACATTTTGCTTTCTATTATTACAATTTGCATCGAGATCAACGTAAAATGTAATTTTGCCAGATATAATTACACACTTTCTGAATTATTACATTTGCAATATCACATTTTTTGTTGAGGTCAACACAAAATGTAATAATAATACAAAATGTAAAAACGTCATTTTTTGGATTATAACATTTTGCTTTATTACATTTTGCAAATTTGCACCGAGATCAACGTAAAATGTAATTTTGCCAGATATAATTACACACTTTCTGAATTATTACATTTTGCAATATCACTTTTTTTTGAGGTCAACACAAAATGTAATAATAATACAAAATGTAAAAACGTCATTTTTTGGATTATAACATTTTGCTTTATTACATTTTGCATTGAAATAACACAAAATCTAATTATAGCTTATATATAAATAGATGCATTTATCATGTGAAGTAGGAATACAGTATATTGCAATCAATTAAATTTTCTTTATACAACTTTGACTTCCTTATTCAAAATATTCCTAAATTTCCTGTTGGTTCACATTTTACATTGCTTCTGAAGCAGAGTTTATTAAAAAAAATGTCATAATCTTTTTTAGTGGCTATAACAAATTGATGACCATATTTTCAAACTTTTGGAAGTTTTCTTGTTTTGAATCACTATTTTTATATCACCAATTATTTTTTAATAAATTGAATAGGATTTAATTTTATCTATGGCTTATATGCTAAAGTGTTTCTGTTATATTTTATAGTAAATTCAACATGTTGGGATCAGAAATTGTTTCTCCCTGAATTTGGAAGGATAAGTTTTTACCTCTAATAACACAAGTAATTATTTCAATTCTAGTTAATAAAATTTGTGTAAATTTCCACACAAAAGTTTAAGAACACAAACAGTGAGTTTACATGTATTTATATTACGGTAATACCATATAATTGTATTGACAGATTTTTGAAACATTTGGAAATGTGATTTAAAATTAGCATCAAATAGTGTCTTAATTCTAATATTAAATCCAAAGCGTGTGTTATCACATTTTGCCTTAACCTTGACGGGCATCACAAAATAATGCACAATGCAATAAGCCAAAACTGACATCATCAGATACCCAAGAGTGATCTTGTCTTTTACTCATTGTGATGAGTAGAAGACGAGATCACCCGTGGACATCCGAGGATGCAAAAATGTGTGTTATTACATTTTGTGTTATAACATTCTGTGTTGATCTCAACAAAAAATGTGATAATGCAAAATGTAAAAATCCAAAAAATGTGTTATTACATTTTGCATCATTACATTCGGCATTGATCCCAATGGAAAATGTAAAGACGAAAAATGTAATAAGCCCAGTTTATTACATTTTGAAACATTATTACATTTTTGTTGTAAAAGACCTGTTTTTATAACTACAAATGAAACAATCATTAAATAATTTTGATTTAAATATTGTATCCATAGCTTTAGTAAAGAGTCTCATAATTTGGGAAAAAATGTGCTGTATAAGACTGTGATAGAATTAAACAAGTCTTCCCTATACTACAAATCCATGCAAGTGCCAACTAACACAATGATTGCAAATACAATAAATAAAGAAATCTCTTGCTGCAATGATATACCTTTGTAAGAATGCAACTGTACATACCATACAATTTAATAGTCCCCTGTGCCTCATCCAAAAGTATGATATACCCAGATAGATCAACCATCTCAGTGATTTTTAATTGCTTAGTGGAATGGAATAATTAAATCCTTTACATGTTGGAAAAGACACATTTTCCCAAATAACTCAGAACTCCAAATATGCAAAAATTCAGACTAAAATAGACTCAACAAATTGATTTTCACATTTTTAACATTATATAATGTATAGTTATTATCCCAAATCCAAGTATTCAATATTTATGAGTAGATCTTATTTCACATCCACAGAATAACAATTCAAACCACCACTCACATTTGCCATGCTCCAAAATTTCTCTGGAATCATTAAAATATGTATATACCCAATCCCAGTGTCCTTGCGGTTAATTGTACAGAAAAATCATTAAAACACAATCGAAACGAAGATGAGATGCAATTACACAATTAGCAGATAGATTCCTGTCCAAACAATATCTGTGATATTTGCCAGGAGATTGAGTCTTGCACCATTTAATGACAAAGAAGCAGTATTCTATATGTGTGTTTTATCAGTGAGATTTCTCATTGGAATTGATTTTCATTGACAGAATGCTGTAAATCTTCCTCCCCTTTCCCCAACACTACCTTAAAATGAGTGGAGAGCGGACAGTCACAAACAGGATCACGACCTTGACCTGACATTGACCCTTGCTCATTAGATATAATCATTACACAGCATTTACAGGGTATAAAGTTATACCCCTGAGTATGGATGGTCTATATGCCAGACATAAATGACACCTGAAACCAGTCTGATTTGCAGTAGAGAGAAAGAATTTTTGTTCTTCTGAGGAAATACTGTACATTGTATGCATTGGCTTTCATATTCTTATCAACTGATAATCATAATGGGTTTACCATTAATGCAAATATGGTTCATTTAATTAAGTTTTATGGACCGTTTGCCTTTAATGAACATGACAAATAATAGGAAAATGACCATTAATACAGTCTATTGACTGGGACTGGGAATCTGTTTGTAGTGGTTATCCAAGATTTTCTACCCGATATAAATTGTGACTACCTCTAAATACTCTACTTCTCTGCAAATGTTAGATTTATTTTGATTTCTGAAATGTACAGTGAATTTTCAATAGAAGATCTTGTAGGTTAGATTGTTATTCGTAACTAGAGTGTTCCAAGGAATGTACATGTCGCCTGCTTTATGCCATTATTAAAGGTGTAAGAGAGGTCAGCTATTTAATATTTGCTACTAGTGTTATAGTTCAAGCATTTGCCTGAAAAAAAAAAAAAAACTGATAGAATGGCAATTATTATATAAAATGTGAGAATACTGTATAGCGAGTATTTTTAGCGGGGTGCTAACTTCTGGCTTATTTTAGCAGTTTTGTAGTCAGCCGCTAAAATTTTAATTATTGTCAAATTTGCACTCTTCTCTATTAATACTGAATACAAGGAAAATCACTTAAATAACTTTGATTAGTCTGTTGTATAAGTAATATAACTTTCACCTGGTATTGTATTTACTCAAACTTTTGTGTAAATCTGTATGTAAACATGTATAAAACGTACTGAAACTTATCTAAAAGATGAATTTCCTCTCTTTTGCAATGTCACAGAACTCTGTGTCCGCCAAAAAAAGTTCTGCCAAAATTGTTGGCATACCTTTGAGCATGCAAAAAACCAAATTTTACACCCACTAAAGAAACCCACTATACGGTAAAAAAAAAGATATTTGTGAAACACTTATGCCCCCCCCCCCCAAATAATTGGAATTTTTCAAAGTCCGAGGGGCATAACAGAAACAGAACTTGACCTAGATATTTTTATGATAAATCTGTATACCAAATTTCATTTCAGTATGTGCAACCTCTGCGAAGAAAATGAACGGAAACTGCAAATAATTGGAATTTTTCAAAGTCCAAGGGGCATAACTCTGTCAAAAATTGCTCGATCATACCCAACACAGAACTTGACCTAGATATTCTGATAAATCTGTATACCAAATTTCATTTCAGTACGTGCAACTTCTGTGAAGAAAATAAACGGAAACTGTTGTTGGACCAACAGACCGAACCGACAGACAGACAGCAAAGCAATATGCCCCCCTTCTCCGAAGGGGGGCATAAAAATTATAAGAAATGTATAATTTTAGCTAAAAAAGGGGCTCTGTCACTTTGCTCCCTCCACCCCTTCTTCATCGCTATAAATTTTACTTATAAAAATATGATCTACATGTATTACTTTGTTTGACTCATTATTCAGTATTAATCAAAGCCATTAACAGACTCTCAAGTAATAAACTTTGATATTATCAAAGATTACAAAGCTTCCCATAACAAATATAATCTAAAATGATGCATCCATCCTAGCATCATCAATGCAAGTCTGGTCCAGTAGCCCGGGCTCAGAAATGTATACTAATGGAGTTGCTTCCAGAACTTTGATCTGCCCAATCACCTGAAATATTTAGATCAGATGCAGTATTTGAAGTATGAATGGTAGTATTACACATATATTATCTAAGATACATCATTCATGCAAGTTTGTTGCAAGTTATCTATTATATTTACAGTTTTGAGAGAGTAATGCATCTCAATTAACTTTGAAATGGTCACTCATCTAGAAAATAAAGGTTGGAAACATCTAAGGTATACGTGTAGCATAAGGTCATCTGAGTTCTGTTGAGATTAATTAAAATTGTCATTCCTAAAACAAAGAGAGCTTCCAATAGGCAACTATTTAAACACTAGTTACGAAACACATACATTATAAGAGGTAAATAGTATACAGACTGCTTCTAGGGAAATCTTTCAATACATTTTCAAACAGCTAGCAAGTAAAGTTCCCTAATGACATTTGACAGCGAAGACTTCCTATTCCCAGATTTCAATCACTTAGAGGATTTGTCGCGAATAAATGTCTTAAGGGAGACCAGCCTCTCTTCAGGAATTATTTACTCATCAGGAAATTCTGCCATTCTACTGATCATAAGGACAGTTTCCTTCTCAATCCAGGCTTCATTTAGCACATCAGCAGAGCTTTGGTGCTGTGCCAGAGGGTTCTGTAAACACTGAGCTTTTGGTCTGGCAGTCTAGCTTTTACTTGCAGCATTTTGTCTTATCAATAAATTGAAGGCTCTGTTTGTCTCTTGACTTGACACTAAATCAAACTGTCTTTTTTACTCATGAGTGGAATCAATCATCTTAAGGATGCTATAGATTTTTTAGGGAAAACACTGCTGAATTATTACTGGAATATCATGGAATACCATAGACCTATGTGTGCAGACTCAGATTAAGTTAGACAGCATTTCATAAAACAAACTATGACCATAATTCTGTGGAATCACAATTTCTGTTTGTGAATCATATAGAAAATTATGTGGATTTTTAAGATTGCCATTGTATGTCTTCAATGTACTTTATGTTTTATTAATGTTATATATATATATATATATATATATATATATATATATATATATATATATATATATATATATATATATATATATATTATTATCATAATTTTTTTTTAACTGAGGCTTAGTGAGCTTAACATAAAAGAGTAAAGGTTAGGATCACAAATTTCTGACACTGTTGAATTGCTCTTACCAATATGCACCCATACATAAAGTTTGAGAATTTCTTGATTTTTTCCCCTTTTAACTGAACATATCATACTGGGAGAGATGTAAGGACTGGGGGACAGATGACGGAATTTCAATAATGATTTATCTCTACCCATTTCCATGGTGAGGCATAAAAGACGGAATGAAAATGGTCATTTTATATCCCCGAATTAATATCTACAATACAAAATATGTTCTATAAATATTATCCATGAGGAGCAGTAGAAAACCTGGTAATCAGGTTCCCGTAAATTCACATATTTTTATGGGGTCAAATTTTCGTGCTTTGGGGAAAAAATATATTGTTTTAAGGAGAAATGCTTTAATGGTTGAAGAAGTGCTGAGTTGTTATATATATTGAAATTTTACCTTTCATGGGGGACATGAATTTAAGGGTCTCTTTATCCCATGAAAACAACGAAATTTAACCCACACAAAAATTTATTTCTAGGGCTGGGACGATACAAATTTTTCTACATAATATTTAGCATATTTGTCTTATAAATCAAGCCCAAAATGGTTTTTTCTGCGATATTTCGATATTCATTCATACATATCGATATGCCTATCGTCCTCACACAGAATCGATATTATCGATATCTTGATATATCATCCTAGCCCTAGTAAATTCAAGTCAATGTGACACCATACAACATATTTTTACACATTATTTTGGGGGGAGGGGAAGGTGGGGATGTAGGGGGTAAAGTATAACATAACATTCCTGAATAGTCATGTGGCTTAAATTAAGTTTTTGGTTTTAGTTGATCCCAGTTTTCCTACTACTTTAATATCATCCCTTGAAAAAAGCTTGGCTTTTCATTTCCAGAAACAAAATCCTTTTATTCAAGAATGCTTTGATCAAAGTGTTATTAAAAATATATCATCACGCTTAACAGATCTTTTTTCTGCTTGTTATACCCATCGCTTTTCAAGCATGGGGTGTATAGTGATGGGATGTCTCTTATACCACTGAGTGAAATTTAATAACACTTTCAAAGAATCTTTGTTACATAGTACCACTGTAACCTCCTATTTTACTTTTTGATCAGACACAAATTTTGGGTTTCCAATAGCAAAACACAGACACTGCCATTCTTTCTATAATATTGAGGGGTACCCATCACTTATCCACTGAATGAAATTTATAACTTTCACAGAATCTTTATTACATAGTGCCAATGTGCACCTCCTATTTTACTTTTTGATCTGATACTTATTTCGGGTCTCCCATAGCAAAACATGGACTTTGCCATTATTATCACATTGGAGGTAAGGGATATCATTTTGTAAGCTCAGCGCTCACAGTACCTCTAGTTTATTAACCAATATTGGGCTATTTCCCTACAGAAAATCCTGAGCATTTTCTCCACCAGTTCTCTGGAAAACTTCCTAGTTTGACTTTGGTGGAAACTCAATAAAATTAAGTTGAAATTTAATACAGTCGAGCCTCATTAATCTTGACATGTATTCCTAAGCAAATTGTCCAAATTAATGAAGCATCTGGATTACTGAAACATACTTGGTATGTACATAAATATGAATTGGTCACCACAATTTTTGTCCAGAAGGTGAAGGGTCCAGATTATTGGTGTCTGTATCAATGAGGTTCCACTTAATTCACTTTAGTTATTAGTAAACAAGGAATTAGTTTTAAAACACTATAATACAAATTTTTTTCGCAGTTAGCATTATTTTACTGAAAAAGTGTCGAATGAAAGACAAATTTAATCAAATTTCCCATCTTTTTTATCCAAAGAAAAAAAGAGTCAGCTATGTGCATGGGACTTTGAATTTTGTGAGACTGGAATATAATGAACAGCAAAAGTAACATGATTGTGCAATTACAAGTCTAATGACATTACCATGTATGATTTTGGCATTTGTGTGTTCAGCAATCAGCAACCAATCAGACATTTAACATCAGGAAGCTTATAGTCACATGATTTCCCTGGACAAAATAAATATTGTCTCATCCAATTTTCTTACAGCTAAGGCATCTTATTAACTTGATTAACTTCAAATAAACACTAATAATCCATGTGTAACGTAAATTTTCCATCTTCACTATATGCTTTTGTAATAACCACATGGATGGTTATATCACAACAATTACTGTCCAATCTGTAGATTGAACTTGCATTTTTTTTTAAATACTCGTATTATAAAATAGAAATCATTAAAAAAAGGTTTCTTGCTATAAAACAATAAATAATCATTTCCAGCATATTCATATATTTGTTGTGGTATTACTTCCTTAACTGAAGATAGAATAGGAGCATCATTATGATACAATATAAATCAAATTTTATATTAACTTTCCTTAATATTTTTCTTTAGACTGTCATTTAGAAGGTTATGCTTTTGATTCACTGTTTCACTCTTTGTTAGCAAGACAAATGCATACACAGTTATGCATTTTTTTAAAAATTAATTTTAACTACCAGCCCCCCCCCCCCCCCAACTGGGATACATAGTGATGGGGTTTCCATCCTTCCATCCGTTCATCTTTCTGTCCGTACATCCTTCTGTATGTCCATAACATTTCGGGGTACCCATCTCTTATCCGCAACTCCTCCTATACCACTAAATAAAATTTAATGATACTCTCACAGAATCTTCATTACATAGCCCCCTTGTGCATCTATTTTACATTTTAATCAGACAGATATTCGGGGTTTACCATACCAAACCATGTAGCCAATCTTTTAATAGCATTTGGGTGTACCCATCTCTTATCTGCAACTCCTTCTATACCACTGAATGAAATTTTAATGAGACTTTCACAGATTTTTTATCACACAGTTTTATAGTGCATCTCCTGATATGGTCGGACAGATATTTGGGGTTTCCCATACCAAAACACTGCCATTCTTCCTATGATATTGGGGGTACCCATCTCTTATCTGCAACTCCTCCTATACCACTGGATAAAATTTATTGAGACTTTCACAGAATCCTTATTACATAGTACCATTTTTTATCTCCTATTTTATGTTCTGATCAGAAAAATGGACTTTGACATTATACTCACATGGGAGTGGGGGTATCATTTTGTGAGCTCAGTACTCACAGTAACTTTAGTTTTTAAATGTATGATTTGGAAAGTGAGGTGATGGGGAAAATACTAGCATGTATGAATTGCTAAGAATTGAGTCTTTGTTCTGAAGTAAAGTAAATATTTTTTCCCCTTTTAAGAATTCCCCTAAATTTAATTAACCATATAGCAAAGACATATTAAATAATTTTTTTTTTGAAACATTCCAATACCTGATGCAATGTCATCAATCCGAGGTGGAAACCCCTCATCCAATCCACCCATGACAGAAAAGCCAAATCTTTTTTCCCCAGGCCTCATGTCCACCATGATCTCAAATACAACTTCATCCACATCATCCAGTGATCCAAGGGGAAGGGTTCCACTTTGACTGTAGGTCTCATGATGATGGACATTACCCATCACTGTGTGATCCATGCCCAATAACTGTAACCTATCTGCACTCCCGAGGTGAGACGCAGGAGCACTGAAGTCTGAGGGAATCTGCCTGACATCGTCCACACTCTCCCACTTCTTGTTGAAGGCCTTGAAATCCTCCAGACTGCCCCATTGTAGCATTCCCAAACTGTGGGAGTTAAAAAGGGAAGCATTTCTGTCATCCACCAGGAGGAGACGGGAACGGGATGTGGAGAAAACATCAAATGTGGCCTCTTCCACCTCCATTATGTTGGTACTACCCTACAAAGTTACACAAGTAATGAACCTTATAAATAAAAGTGTAACAGATTGTATATTGAATACAATACCCAACTTCATTCACAATTATCATTAACAAAAATATAAGCATTGATTGAAACTTGGGTACATCTTTTACCTTTCTAAAGTTCACTTAATGTAGCAATCCATCTGATCTACTAAATTCAATCTGGTTCATTTTTCAATCTTAATAAATTTTCAAACCAAAAGCAATTGGCAAATTTTCTATGCGGTAGTAAAAGGCAAGAGAAATAACTCAGTTCAGCAGATGGAGGATATGTGCTATTTGTAATCATATAAATCTCTCTTGACCTTTCTTGATTAATTTATTTGAGGTTGACATGCCCAGTATTAGGTAATCTGAATTGGATAAAATTTATTCTAAATCTAATCTTATTAAGATTTACTGATATGGTAATCCAACATGTCCACTTACCTCAATACTAAAGGCAATAAACCCTCAACACTTATTTTTAAAGACTCTTTATACACTAAAAGATTTTTTTTGGACATTGAGAAAATTTTATTGTATAAATGTGTAAATACTGAGCATATCTATTTTATTTTAATTAGGTAACTTGCATTTACACCCAAGAAATATTTTCAAGAACAATGAAGTAATGGCGAACAGAAATCACTACTGATATACATGTATTACTCAGTTGGGGAAAACATATTCAAATAAAATGTTCCATCCATTTATCTTGGACTAAAAAAATATTAAGAATGCTTGAATTGATTGCTCAAGACAGTTACTAAAATAACATTTTTTTCTTTTAAATTGAAATGAATATTACATAAACTTTTCAAGGATTATCTAAAGATTTGTGCTTATATAGATATATACAGAAAAATATACATATGGATAATGAACTGGTGTGCAAACCATGAAGAACATTTACATACAGGCATTGGAACAAAACATCATCAGTCTACCACCAACACAAATGTCCCTGTGTCCTGTATAGAATGACAGTGATTGACACATCAGTAGACATTTGTAGGTGTCCCCTGGACAGCAAAAACAACACAGGAGAAGAAATTTACCTTTGATCACATTCTTTACATGGGCATCCTCTGTTTCCTGAAATTTTCCAAGCCCAAAAAAAAAATATTAAAGAACAAAATACAACATTGAGAAATAATAGCTATGTTTATTTCATTTCAAATTAAAGTTCAATTCATTAACATCATTATTTTTTAAAAAAGATATTTTGACAGGATATGCATACATGGGTAAATCTAATCTCAGGAATTAGATGTTCAAGCAATATCAATAGACTTTTTTTAGTTGTGTTGGATTTTATTAATCTGTTGACAACTGGAGCTTTCTTCAATATATTCAATTTTATTTTTGTCTCAAAATAAAGTTCACTTTAAATACTTGTAGATCAACAATTTGTCCAGAGAGCAGACAAGGCCTTTGATCCATATATGCTTTTTAATTTTATATACATGTATCTTATGTTCAGATTTTGGTGTGTTGCGTGCACATAAATGAACACAAGATTAACTTACCTGTATCAATCATTCACACAGAGCATTTCATACACTTTGTGCCAGGTCATTCCAACTGTTTAGAATCAAATCACAAAATAAATCCAAAAGCAGAAAAATAACAACAAATATTACGAGGATTGACCTAAAATCTAAATAGCCAGATTTACAATCATAAAGCTATTTAAAATCGCTAGAAGGTGATAACACCACAAAACTACTAATACCTTTGATCCCCAGTCAATTACACTGAACAATATAGATATTTACATTACAAGGTATAGTACTGTCAGATGCCCCTGTGCAATTGGAGAAAAAAAAATCCCATCTTTTTATATGACCATTATTTCAGATCACAGTTGGTCAATCATGCACAGAAATTCATAAAAATCCAGGCAGAAAAACTGAAACAAAAAACATAGAGGAAAAGTTTCCCCATTGCGCATTGTCATTATGTCAAACATTCATTAGCTGCCTTTAGTTTCTACCTTAAAGATCGCAGGTCTACTGAATTGCTATCTAAGCTGCATATTTCCTGTTTGGCCTTTTTCAACAAGCTTAATTACATTTCCTTTTATAAAGAAACAAGCAGAGAAATTCACACATGACACTTGTAAAAATCTAATGGAATACACAATAAAACAGTTTTTTTAAGACTTTTTTTTTAATACAAAGTCAAAAAATAACTTGATTGGTTTTTAAATATCCTCAAACCTTTTTTATGCATAGGTTCAAGTGAACAAAGAGGTTAGCCTCTAAAAGGAAATTCAGAATGTAATTACTAGGGCTGTTTATGGACATTTTATTGTGTGCTAAAAAATTGAGAACACTCTGTGTCAATGGTGCTCCGTGACACATCTTTCTGGATCATCTGGGATTTAATTAAGTCGTATTGAACAGTTTATATGATATACTGATCAACTTACATCAGGGATAGAGAACACACAGATCCACTAATCTACTTTTCTGGCACATTGCTATGAATATAGCAAAATTCTTAATTTATAATGAAGAAATCATGAGCATTGATTTGAAATACTCAGTATTTACATGTAGAAGAAATATAATAAATTTAAAGAAGTACTATAATTAATAGAGACACACATTTTTAGTGTAACACTCTGATTGAACAAAACGGAACAGAACCAAATCTCTCTGAACACACTTGAGAATTCAATCCATTAATTGTCACGCATTATAGTTATTCAAGATAATTTAATACTGTATTTTTGTACGGAAAAGAAGATAACTCTATCATATTTATACACTTACATACGCCTTCAACTTACATCAGGGATTTTTTTAGGGTCTCTCCAGGGCCGAAATTCGGCCCCATTCCCAATGCTGAAAAGTGCATGTTTTTCCCAAAATCTTACCTAAAAATTCCCAATATGAAAAAAAGTATTAAGTTGTAAATTATTAAAATAAAATAATGACAAAAAGGTGTTTATGTTCTCTATGTGCGATGTACGAGCCATCCGAGGACTTCCGAGAAGTTATTCGGAATACTATGGATGTTTGCATGCATACTTTTTAAAGCGGGATCGATGTTTAAAAATTAAAGTCGGGTTCGTTATCTAAAAAATAAACGTGCATCATGTCAGTCTCTCCAGTTTGCCTAGGACGGTAATTTTCAGGCTGGGTTGAATCGCTCTTATTCTTATAAATTGGTCAAACAATACCGATTAACCACTCATCTGGAACAAACCCACTATCAAATGTTATTTTAAAGAACTTCTTACATAAAGGTAAAAAAGATGACAACGTATAAATATGTTCATTTACAATGTTATCATATCCTGCGGCTTTGCCATTTTTAAGCTTCTGAACTTCAACAGCCACTATTATTTCATATCACTAAAGCTGGTTTAAGCCAGCTTCATACTATAAAAAATAAAAATGATTAAATATTTGACTTTTGCTTGTTTTTTCGTATTTATTTGTATGAAGATATTTTTCCCAATTTCAACCAAATATCGCTATTTTTCCCAATCTTGACGGCCCCGGCCCCTGGAATCGAGGGGTAAAAAAATCCCTGTACATTGTTTGATAGGCAATACATGTTGCACCTTGATAAATAAAAATGTATTCTAAGTATTGAGTTGAGGGATGTTGGTGACGGCGGGGCCAGAAGTAATTAACCCCATGACCATGATGTTTACAATGGTTAACACGTTCTGTATACATCGAAAACATAAACAATCGATGCAATCATTTTTTATTGAAGGTTTTTGACAAGTGGAAAATCTTACCTGGTTTCCTTTTAATGACTTTTTATTGAAATTCCATTAATGCATTGCATATATGAAACTAAACATGGTTTGAAAAATATCCAAACTTACCCTAGCACATTGAAGTTACCGCGGACTTGTCTTTTACGTCAAATGTAAACACGCTTTTCATTGGACAAGAAATGATACATCAAATACTAGTATTCAAAAAATATTGATCGAGGTTATTTTTCCGGATGCCTCGATTTTCAATGTTTCATTCCTTTAGCATATTAGTGTCGAGCTTCAAAGTATATAAATGAAAAAAAAATTATACATAAATTAAAATATTGCTGTAACGTTATCCTCTGGTCTAAAAATTTACCTTATTTCCAGCCATATTTTCAATGCCTTATATCTCAAAATATGCTCACTAACTCATATTTTTCTCTTTCATATTTTGTTTCAAATAATGAACACATCAAATAAAAATGCTAAAATTGGAAAGTTAAATGCAAGTTATCTCAGCAGAATATATCCTTATCCATATATAAAAAACTAAACTTAAACTTAAATTAAACATGATTTACAAAGTATCCTATCACAAATGCAATCCGATGGCTTTTATAAGTACATGCTACAATTATATTCTCAATTACTATATACATATGTACTTAGAAATCATTAATTATATCAATCGTTACACACTCCGAAACCTGTCCCTCATACCTAAAACATCTGCTTTATAAAATATTTTCTTTTTGAAAAAAAAAAATCCTTTTGTATTGCCAAATTAAATATAATTCATAAGATTGTCTGAATCGTAATCTCATGCAATGTTTTCAGCCACATGCAGTATAGTTGTTATGAGGTACGTGTTAAAAAAACATACCGAATATTTCGCTGGACATCACTAGCTTATACATGTAGCATATATACATGTAGGCCTACTCGTATACAGTGTTCAAAGTACTTGTTTGATACATGCAGCAACTTACATATTCCCAATGTTAAAGTGTACCTTATACTGTTATATGCATTTTTGAGATATGAAACAAAAACAATCAAAGTAAATGTTTTAAAATTCATGTTCTAAATTAAAATGGGTCGAGGAGGGGGGTCATGTTTTGTACTGTCAAGCAGGGTTTTTTTTTTTGGGCCCCATCCCCTTTTTTTAGCGGGGCGGGGGGGGGGTCTCAGAAGACGTCCTTCCAAAAAACACTCCGCCTTATCTGAATTAATAAATCGATTTTCAGAAATTTATATATAAATGCATACTCTATGTGCGTTATGTCATACTATTCATTATCTCTACTTCCTTTGGCAGCCTTTCAATTTTATATTCGAAGAAGGGAAAACGAAACTAACAGAATAGCTTAGTCAGCGATACACACAAATATGTATGTTTCTAAGTAATGGAAGCAATATGCATATTTTTGAGGATTGATCGCCAATGAATGTGAAATTTCGGACTAAACTTGTGTAGTTTTTATTCAATTTGGAAGGTAATAATGTTAATATATTAAAATAGAATGGTAAGGATATTAGCTGAAATAAGCAAAAAATAGTTACTAGTAATTAGTGGTACGATTTCAAAAAGAGTAAAACTGAGAAGATATCGCTAACAACTGCTCTGCTGATATAACATGATTTTACTAGCAAATAAATCACAAGATCTTAACAGCAATCCAAATCCATTCCCTTTCCTTACCAGGACTGGATCAATAATTGTTGAAAAAAACAAAGTAATGCTATATAGAAATGAAAGGATAGGTTTAATTTGAATAAATTTTTATGTTAAGTCAATATCATCGAAAATGAAAAAAAAGTTCTTAGGTTAGATAATTCATTTTCATTTCAGACAGTACTTTTAAGGGTTTGATGAATACCCGAAGCAATGTCGGACCATTTATCAGGAGAAATTTTACTTCAGAAGTCCGGCGATTCAACATCACCAGAGGAATGTCTGAAGTACATTGTCTCCGCACTAAGACCATTGGAGAACTACTTTCAGAGAAATATATCACCGATTTGTTCGTCAGAGGATGTTTGTATCATGAAAATAATTTTCAAAAGTTTAAAAAGTCTATCAAATCGCGAATTAATTGTGGAATTGCTCAACCTTTTCAGGGAAAACCATTCGGTTGACTATCTGATAAGGTTGTTAAGCACACTAGAAAGTGACGTAACTACGGAAGATAGTGAGGTCATCATCACAACTGTTGTAGAAATACTGAAACAACTACAGTCATGTATGCCAAGTTCTTCATTGCAATTACAAGGGTTAATCTGCGTGCTGGAAAATACGATCGAGAAGACAAAGGCTTGTAAGACACTGAAACGGAGAATAAGCACAATTAAGGAGGCTATAAGTAGATCTATTGAAATCCAAAAAAAGAAAGTCACAGCAAAAGAAAATATCGATAGACGACAACCACCAGGAGATTTCAGAAATATACCAATTTTTCCCAGAAGAGAAGACATTTATCCCTCACAGAGACCTTTTTTGCGTAAAGTTATTAGAGATGGTCGATATGATGATTTGGAGCACTATTTAGACGTTCAGTTTAGGCTTTTTAGAGAAGACTGTATATCCCAACTCAGAGACGGAATACAGGAGTATAGACAAGAATACAGTTCTGGAAACCACTTCATTCACCGTCTCGAAAATGCCCGGATTTACAATGATGTTAGGATTCTGTTCAGAGAAACGTCTCTGGACGGAATTTTACACGCTCTGCAACTGGATGAGGAAACTTATGAAAACATTGACTGGGACAATACCAAAAGACTGATCCACGGCTCTCTGGTTTGTCTGTCATGTGATAATTTTGATACATTTGCTCTGGCAACTATTTTGGTAGCAGATACGAATGTGTTAAGTGTCAGAGGAATATTCAAAGTTAAGATAATCCAGGAAAGCAATGAATTAAAGGGTGACATTTTGGGTCGCCTGTTTCAAATGATTGAAAGTACAGCTCTTTTTGAAGCCTACAGATATGGATTAGAAAAGCTTAAAACCATTAGGCCTGGCCAATTGGCCTTTGAGAAATATATAGTAAATTGCGAGACTGATATTGGACGAGTGGGCTACATGGAAAAAGATGTTATGTACGATTTTTCGTCAGTTATTAACAAGTCTTCGGTAAAAATTGACAGCACAGGCCGAGGTTATTACGGAAGTAAACGAATGACGGATCCTACCAGCTGGCCCTCTGCTGAGGAACTTCACATGAATCCCTCTCAGTATGAAGCATTCAAATCTTCCTTGACGAAGGAATTCTGTATCATCCAGGGACCTCCTGGTACCGGAAAGTCTTACCTTGGTCTGCAAATTGTCAAATCTTTGTTAGCAAATACAACGTTTTGGTCTAAAGGTAGAATTAGTCCAATAATTTTGGTTTGTTTTACGAACCACGCATTGGATCAATTTTTAGAGAATATACTTAACTCTATTGACAAAACTTCTTGGGATAAAATTGTTCGAGTTGGTGGAAGGTGCAAAAACAAAATAAGTGAAGACATTTCACTTCGAAAGAGAAGCAAGAGGACATTCAAGAAGAGAAGATTAATAGATCTGAATAGACTACAGTCAATGATTTCTCAATATACAGATATGGAACGGCGATTACCGTTTACTATTATTGATCACATCACCTTTAAAATGCACATTGCATTGCCGAGTGGACAGTTTTCGCAAAAGGAAGACAAATCGATGTTCAGATGGTTAAATGTTGACAAGAGGGGTATTTTAGACTCAGCACATAGCGAGAACTTCTGTGAAGGCAATAATGAAATTTTTCATTATCTTCGGCTGGAAAAGAATTTAAACAAAAATATTTACGAGGATGTGTTTTACGACCTAACATCAAGTGATGAAGAGAGTGAAGTTCAAGACTTGAGAATTCGAGAATCCCCCAGAATTAATTTTGGGATAAATATTCTCGATACTTGGCGTAGTTTTTCAACAGACCATTTTGTTGCAAGAGACAGAGAATTCCGTGATACGTTAAAGCGTGTAATTGAATTCATACTTAGAAATATGAATTCAGAAGATATCATTCCTACTGATGAGGCTGTTGTTTTTGAGAAACAAAACATATGGGAATTACCCATTTCGATCAGATGGAAATTGTACAGATATTGGAAAAATCAATTTTATCAAAGACTGTTCATCAAAATTGAAAGATATGAAGCATTTAAAGATGACATCATCCAAGGTTATAAACAGGAAAAATTTGAAAATGAATATACTGCTCTCAGGAGTGCCTCTCTTATTGCTATGACCACAACTGGAGCTGCTAAATACCATAGAATGTTACAATTGCTCCAGCCTCGTATTACTATTATTGATGAAGCTGCAGAGGTTCTGGAGGCCCACATTTTGGCTTCACTTACGTCGTCATGCCAACATTTAATACTTATTGGTGATCACAAACAACTTGAACCAAAGCCAGCAGTTTATGAACTTGCTCAGAAGTATCACATGTCTCTATCATTCTTTGAGAGGATGATTCGTAATGGAGTACCCTATCATTGCTTGTTAAAGCAACACAGAATGAGACCAGATATTTCTTTGTTAGTAAAGCAAATTTACCCAGGTCTGCACGATGGTGAAAATGTTGAACAATATGAAAGTATTAGTGGAATCGGAAAAGACGTTTTCTTCTTGAGTCACTCCTTCGAAGAACACTATCAAGACGAGGGGAGAAGCTACGAAAATGTGTATGAAGCTGAATTTACCACAAGACTCTGCAAGTATTTACTTTTTCAAGGTTATAAGTCCTCTCAAATTACTATACTGACACCCTATTCGGGACAGTTACGATGCCTGTCCAAATTTGTAGACAGTTCGATCAAGGACATACGGATCTGCATAGTCGACAACTACCAAGGCGAAGAAAATGACATTATTTTGTTGTCATTGGTTAGAAGCAATAAAATGGGTAAATTGGGATTTTTGGACAAGGAAAATAGAGTGTGCGTTGCCTTGTCAAGGGCAAGAAAAGGGCTTTTTGTCATTGGAAATTTCGATATGATGAGTACAAAAGCAAAGGCCACAAAACTTTGGAAAATTGTCTTAGCTAATCTTAAGGTGAAGGGATGTTTTGGAGCAGAACTTCCACTGTTTTGTCAGAACCACCCAGAACGAAGAATTCAAGCGAGAAGTGCATCTGATTTTGATAGTTGTCCAGAGGGAGGATGCGAAACCAAGTGTGACGCTAGACTACCATGTGGTCATGCTTGCAGAAGATATTGTCATCCAGATGATCAAAACCACGAGTCAAGCTCTTGTTATGGGCAATGTCTTAGTACTTGTTCCGCTGGACACCCATGTTCCCAACCTTGCCATTTTCCAAACCCATGTGAATGCAAGGAAATGGTATATAAAGAATTTGAATGTGGGCATGAGAACATGATTGAGTGTTACCTGGAAACGAACCAAAAACAATGTGAAAAGATCGTTACAAAGTATTTCACTTATTGTGAACACAGTATAGAAGTTCCTTGTCATGAAGCAGTAGACAACTACAATTGTGCAAAAATAGTTAAACGCGAGTTGTTTTGCGGGCACACGGCATCAGTTCAGTGTCATATCGGTCTTTCACGAGCTAACTGTGTAGAACGTATAGAGAAGACATGGTCATGCGGTCATTCATCTATGGTAAAATGCGCATATTTTGATGGTGCAGAATGTGCCGAAAACGTTCTTCGGAAGTTAAAATGTGGACATGAAAATTGGATGGAATGTCGTGTAAACCCAAAGTATTTTGTTTGTAAGCAAATGGTGGAAAAAGTCTTTCAGAAATGTGGGCATAAGAAACTAGTTCCATGTCATGAAGATATCGTGAGGAAACCTTGTACAGAGGTTGTACTTCTCAAGAGAAAATGTGGACATGAAGACATGTCGAATTGTTATAATATTGAAACTGATAGAATGAAAAAATGTGAATCATTATGTGGGCAACTATGTAAAAGGGATCACACATGCAGGAGACTTTGTCACTTTCCAGAGGACTGTGAGTGCAAACAACCAGTACAAAAATATATTACAAAATGCGGCCATACTGCTACTATGGATTGCTTCCAGGATCCAGATAATTTTAACTGCACTGAATTAATTACAAAAGAGGTGCCTATATGTAGGCACAAAGTAAAAGTAGAATGTTTCAGTACTATTGAAAACTTTAAATGTCATGAAAAGGTGAGAAAATTTAGGGAATCTTGTGGTCATGGTATCATTACAGAATGTTACAAAGACCCAGAAATCTCTTCCTGTAATGAGCTAATATCAAAAAGGTTGAATTGTGGCCATGATTGTGATGTGGTGTGTGGTGAAGAAATTTCGGATATCCAGTGTATGAAGAAAGTGACTAAGTACCTCTCTTGTGAACATGAAATTGAGGTTTTTTGCCATGAAAAAGATCTCGAAAACTTTGCTTGTTTGGAAAAATTAGAATATGTATTAGAGTGTGGACACTTCTATCCGCTTTTATGCAGTGAGTACCAAAGGGCTGAGATGCTTGAAAATATTGAGTGTATCGAGACAGTTCAAACAAAACTGACTTGTGGGCATATTTGTTCTCATCCTTGTGGCTTGTCCCAAGAGGAGGTAAAATGTGAATCAAGATGTAGTGTTACCTTAACCTGTGGACATACATGCGCGGGCTACTGTCAGGATTGTCAGAAAAGCGAGTTTCACGAGAGATGTCCTGAGTGTTGTAGTAAGCAGTTACTTTGTAGTCATGATTGTAGTAGTGAGCTATGTGAAAGTTGTCGAGTCTGTCACAGGGAGTGCGAAAATTACTGTGATCATGCAGGTTGTGGCAAACGTTGTTTTGAAATCTGCGACTTGTGCATATTGCCATGCAGCTGGAAGTGCCCTCATCATCGATGTTCATTGCTATGCCACGAAATCTGTGATCGACCTCGCTGTTCATTCTCATGTACAAAGAAGTTAAAATGCCAACACAACTGCTTAGGATTTTGCGGTGAGCCATGTCCACCTTATTGTTCTCAGTGTGATTCACAAATATCAGAAAAAAGCATGGGCAGTCTAGAAGTGAATTCGCGCCTTGTATACCTCCCATATTGTAGACACTACTTTGAATCCAATTTTCTAGATAATTTTATTGTACAAATGAGACCAAATGACTCTCTCATGAGCCTGTCTTGTCCAACATGCGGTAAACAAATTACCTGGCATCCGAGATACAATAAAATCATAAAGCTACAGAGAAAAAGAATGAACCTGGCAAAGGCGATCACGGTGTATATGACTGAAGTCAAATCGTGCGAGTTTCTTCCGCTCTTTTCTCCAAGCTTTTTAAAATGCCAAGAATTTCTTGAAGATTGTAAACGATATTTAGAGTCAGTATTTGAAAATCTTCATGAAAACAAACTGACAATATTTGTCAATAAAACTTTAGATCAGATCGACACTGTTAGTAATGCAACAAGACCGTCATTTGATCAGTACAAATCAATTTATGATGCCACGTACAGAGTGTCTCAAGAATGGCAGAAGATCATAATAGAAAAAGACAACTCACTTCCTCAAAGTCTTGAGGTGACAACTGATAAATCTAGGGATGAATCTAAGCAGCTCGTTGGTGAGTTTAATATTTGTGGAGATGTCGGGCAAATGATGGGAAGAACAGTTTCTTTACCGTCTATAATACTTATGGCCGATCCACATGCTGAAAACTGGAAAATCTGCAAAGAAGGTAATCTACACGTCAATATGATATACAAAGTAAAACTTGTCGATAAAATGTTTCATTTAATGTTAAAATCTTTCTTTTTGGTTCGCTGCTGATTTCTTTGAATCTAAATTTTAAAATGTTTGCTTTGAAGTTATGTTTTCCTTAATATCATCCAGGGCATCCATATTGCTGTATATCTAATTACGGATCGTGCATAATATGCAAACAATGGGAGGATAATCGCTACTTTAAGAGGCTATCAGAGTATTTGTCCTCTATCTCTACGGTGGATCTGATTGCTGACTGTAAAATGCCAATCAGAAAATCTAAAGGTACTGTTTCTAAGTTTAATTCATATCCATAATTCAGAGAGTTCCATATCAATTTCATTTTTACATACACATAATTACAAATAAACACTTGTAATTCAGAAAGCACAGTTGGTACCGAAGGAAAACAAACAGCTGGTCACAAGTCAGAGATGGATACAGAGAAAACCGGAGCGCGACCGAAAGACACGAAAAGTGGTGCTACAAAGAGTCAGGGTGACAAAGAAACCGAGACTAAAGCAGAGAACAGCAAATCTAGGAAAGGGGAAAAGTCCAAAGAAAAGCCAGCACCAAAGTGGAAAAAGAAACCGCCTAAAAAGTGGTGGGAAGAAAAACTATGAAAATATTCTTAAATGAAGAATCATTTTGCAATTATAAGATTTGGATATTTTTTGGCCCATGACATACGTAAATTTCAGAAAAAGATAAAATCTTTCATAATATTATAATTATTGTACAATACAGAGGGCTCACGGCGGATGTGACCTATCGATAGGGGATGCGTAATCCTCCTCGGCACCACATCCCGTTTCTTGTGTTTTCAATGTTCCTTGTTCTTGTCCTGTTCACAATTTATATTGTTTAAACTATTTATAAGATCTAATATTTAGATTTTTTACATATAAACGATTACCTATCATGGTTATTGTTTTTAAAGAAAGTTCGGGTATTTTGTAATCGTGTGGTCTGTCCCTTTATCTGTCACATTATCTTCTTCCTCAAACTCGTCCTACATTTTAAGCAGCAGCCAAATCATCCTTCTGAATATTATTGTTGGTGTCTTGTAGATGTGCAATTAGGTTTCAGATTTTTCATTTTCATCTTGAGACTAACTCGTTGTCTGAAAATGACGGGGTTTTTTTCCCCTACGAAATCCTATCTTCCTCCTCAAACTCTTCGAATATTTTAAGCAGTAGCCAAGTCATCTTTAGGAATATGATTGTAAGTGTCTTGTAAAAGTGCTGTAAGGTTCCGGGATTTTCATTCTCCCTAGGGATCAATAAATCGTCGAAAAATGATGCCCCAACCACCGCCACCCTCAAAAAGCTTAGTTCTCATTTTATGCAGTAACCAAATAAATAGGATCCTGTAGATGTGTAGTAAGGCTTTAAAAGTAAAATTTTTGAAGCCAGTGGGGGAGAGGGGTTTTGTGTTTTCCACAAAATCTTGGTTTTCAGAATTCATCTTCTATTCTATGCATTAGCCAAATCATCTTTTTATTGATGATGTTCTGAATTTTGAAATTTTCATTTTGACACTGGGGGGTCGAAAAACAGCTTCATTCTACAAAAGCCATGTTTCCAGAACTCCTTTAACATTTCATGCAGTAGCCAAACTAAGAAATTGGTGGTGTCCTGAAGATGTGCACAAAGTTTTTTGGTATTTTTATTTTCACCTAGGGGCAATAAGAGGTCGATTTTTTTTTTCTACAAAAATCCAGAATTCCTCTTACCTTTTAAGAAGTTGCCATTCCATCTTGTAGAATATAATTGGATGCTGTCCTGTAGATGTGCAATAAGGTTTTGGAATTTTCAATTTTTTTTCCCAATAGGCCAGTTTGGGACAGAAATTTTAAAATGCCCTTCTAAACACAATAATTCTTTTTCCAAAACTCCTTTTTAAATTCTTTATTAGCTTCGTTAATTGCAGATTGGCAATAATTTTATATGACGTACTAACTAAAGAGGCCCATGCACCACCATCTGAGCATTTTATGCTCAAATTCATCCATGTATATTTAATTATTTATGTATTATAGAATAACTATTGTCTTCTTCCCTGTTTACCCGGGTGCAAAGGAAAATAATTTTAGAGGCAAACGCTTACGTGTGGGCATTACTCATAACTGTCACAGCATCTTATTTTTTTAAAAGCATATCTTAATTATAAAGTTTACCGACAAACAATTGTAATATCTGGTATTGAAGGGAATTTCCATCATATATAACTTTGATAATTCATTTTGAAAAAAAGCTATCTTACAACAACAATTAAAGAAATAAATGCCTATGACCAAAATTATAAAATGGCATACTGGTATATGAGTTTCAATGCTTTCTTTTTAAAAAGAAATCCAAGCCAGGAAAGTAGTTAATTAAGAAAAGCTAAGTATTTATCATAATTTTAGAAAGAAATGATATCTTTAGTCTTGGCATTCTAAGACCTAAATCATTGTTACCATTCGTACATTTATGTACAGGTTGGACAACAAAGACACAAGACTTCAGATCATATGTATTTTTAGATGATTATGACATGGCACAGTTTATGTACAGTAGTATTCCCAGAAATCCTGGCTCATGAGTGAAATAAATTCCATATCCAACTACAAAACATTGAATTTTCTGTTTATTACATGTTCTTTGATTTTCTTTTTGCCTCTGTCTTTTCTTAACACAGTGTCATAGGCTGTGATGTCATAGTTGAGCAGTTGAGATGTCATAGCTTAGCAGTTGTGAGATTGAAAATATTGTAACATGGATTTTAGCAACATATATAGGGAGAAATTGGAAGTTTTAGTCTATCAAGATGATTTAGTTACTACACTGTATCTCATTCTAATCACAGGCCAGAAATTATATTTTTCCTTACTTTGATATCCTTTCATACTGTGACAGAATATCACTTTTGTATCCTTTCACACTGTGACAGAATATCACTTTTATTCAATGAATAAACAGTGAAATATGTCAGAAAGGACGGTACCACCTATCAGTACAAGCTCGCTAATTGTGACCAGTTTACAAAAAAATTGATTTTATTATTCTTTCATAGTTTACTTATTGAGTTCTTTATTTTTTTGTCCTAATTGTTCAAAATAAACTTATCGAGTTCTTTATTTTTTTGCATCATTCGTATATATATGCACATTTATTCAATGCAAAACTGTTTTTGAATTGCAATAAAGAGACAAAAGGAAGATCCCAGAAGGTGTATCAAAAAAAGGAAAATCAGTTGTTAGAAGTCGTGAGAATTCCTTGTCCAATTACAAAACATTGACTATTTATTGAACCCAAACAACATGTTAGAGCATTTCAACAGAAAAAACGGAGACAAAATGATGAATGTTTAATTGTTGAAATTTAATACAAGACCCCCCCCCCCCCCCGGTCGGTTCCTACGGGTAATATTACACCGTTGAGATCAATCCAAATATATTTTGGTTATTATGAATTTTATTGAGTGTACCAATTCTTCATGTGGTATACCAGAGGACTTGTAGCATTTGTAACAAATACCATCATGCTAGGGAGGAATTATTTACAAGCCTCATTTTTTAGTTAAATACAATATTGATTGTAACCTACTTCTGTGGGAGATGAACCACAAAACGTTTACATTAACCAATATAAGCATTAAAAAAACTTTTTGGTACAACGTATCTACATGTATAGATATCGACAGTTGCAACTACATGTATTTAAGGTGAAAAGTCTGTTGAGTTTCAAAAACTTGTGTTCAAACCTATTGTATAATATTTAATTATTTATACAATCAAAAAAATGATGAAATCAGCAAAGTTTCAAGTTATACAGCGCGTTTTCTTTAAAATTTCCCAAGTTTTACTTGTATTTCACCTATCACCAATATCTGATAAGTATATGTAATTTGTAAATCGTAATTATTCGTATAAATATGTATTTTTTTTAATCACATCAATATTTCAAAATAAAAGCAAAACAGGAACACACGACTTCAATGAGAAATAACACCCGTGCCAAAATTTAATTTGTTCTGACACACTGTTATGGAAGATGTTTTATTTGAGTCTTTTTATAATAATTTCAAAGTATTGTTAATAATGTATTCATCCCCACCCAATACGTAAAGCGTTTGTGTTGAATATCAGTCGTGCAGTAAGAGTTACTTTTCTTTTTATGTTTTCTATGACAGATTATGGATAACGGTCAATATTGACGCATTGCTGATGAGTGATGAAATATTTTATAATTTAAATGTTTTTCATAAGTCACCTTTTAATATGATAACCCAAAAGCTATATTATATTATTATTATATAAATATATTACATGTACACAATGGTTGAACCTCCAAATACAAGAAGACTATACATTTATTGACTGGGTTCGAGGGCAACATGCGTTTTGTCGGACCCAAGAACCAAACTGTTTGCCTGAGGCCGTTAGGCCTCAGGCAAACATTTTGGTTCGAGTGGTCGGCAAAACGCATTTTGCCCGAGAATCCAGTCAATAAATGTTTTGTTATATCTTTTATTTATTATTTTTTATACATGTATCTTTTGCTGGCTTCCATACTAACGAATGCAAATGATTAGATTCAGCTGATCCCGCCCACAGTGTGACGTAAACAGTCCAATATCTCGTCCACAGGTCCAATATCTCACTCTGCGGTCAAACATCGATTTTTTTTATGACCGCTCAGTAAAACATTAGAAATGTTAGTCTTTTTTTAGAATAGATTTATATAGAAACTAATTTGTAAAGGTATAACAAAATACTTAACTTTTTTCCCTTCTCCAATATAGATATCTGAGTAAAAAACAGAGGAACAAACGATATACATGTAGTTACATGTAACCGGCCGATGGATAAAAGTTCAATTTATTCTTACAATATTAATACGGAGATGTTGCACAATTCCTGTCTGTATGATTTTATTGTACATATTTCCATTTGATGCGTTGTACTTAAATGTAAAGTTAGAAAAAAAAAACCCTTCCTGTAAAAATTACGTGGGAAAATTCCATCTGATTTTCTTTTCTCTTCAATTCGTAGTTTCTCTGATTCAATCGTCAGTCATCCATCAATTTATTTATTTATTTTTTTAAATCAATTTTCATTTAAAGATCAGAAAAACGGTATTTGTATATTATATATTCCTTGGAACCATTTAGCCAATAATAAAATAATAAATGCAAGCTAATTTCTTATTTTTATGTTCAGGATTGGTGTATATATCCTGTCACCTGAATTGAAGGTTAGTTTCTTCATATGGTAGGTTGATTCAAAATATGATGGTTATGAAATTTTTTTTTCTTATCGGAGCATGAAATGGAATCGTCCTGAATTTGCATGAATAAGATTTTTAATCAATGAAAAAAGCCTTCTTTTTTTTTTACATTATAGTATATATATACCGGTATTTTTTCTGTTCATTTATTAGTGTTTTGTATTATGAAAATCATTTAGCATCACTACAACAAAACAAACAAACGTTAAACTAACAAAATAACTTAAATTTTACTTCATATCAATAGATTTATCCGTAATTCACAAACTGCTGGAATACTACCTGTTTAAATATATTTTGTATTTTTTCCACAGTGATGGAATAGCAAAGTTTGATGTGGGCTTTAAAGGGGTAATAAAAAAGCGATCGAAACTCAAAAGTCAATAAATTTTCGCGAATCCTTGCATTCATTGAGCTATCTCTCAAATCAGTGGACAGCCTTGTTCTATTAAGGAGATTTGATCGTCCAAATGATGAGATGTTGTGAAACAGTTACTCATGCTTTCATTCAGGCACTGTTCAGGTGTTGACAATTCGGCCCGCATATGTGATAGATGGACCTCTGCAATCTAGAGTTACCATTCCGAC